CCCCGTGAGGTGGGGGGGGCGGGGCACACGACGAAGCCCCGCCCCCTGCTTCCAGCCACCCCGCTTCCGGCCCTCATTCAGCCAGGAGGAGGCAGGAGAAGAGGGAGGGTAAGTTGCTTCCTCCCTGCCTCTCCCCACCCCTGCCTGCCTGGGGCCAGGGAAGGCCTTGGCGGGGCTTCCTCGCGCTCCTGCCGGCCTTGCAGGTCCACCGCCGGACCCCTGATGTCAGGGGGTGTGGAATATGCTAATGAGTTCCCCTAGCTCTTTTTCTACGAAACGACCCATGGGAGGCATGATCTCCATAGCAAAAAATAAGGGGACGGGGTAAAAGCCAGAATGGTCGGGCCCATTCCAACTTTTACCCTGTCCCGATTCGTAAAACATTGCTAGCCGTCTTGAAGCTCTGGTGAAAGGTGGGGCAGGTAGAAGGAACTCATTCTCTGGGCAGGGAACTGGCACTCATAGCCTTCCTCAGCCAGGCAGACGGTCTCCATCCCCACCCTTATGCTCTGAAACAAACAGCAACAGTCTCGACGCCTTCAAACTCCGTTTTTCTAGCACAAGATATGTCTCACTGTGTTTTTTAAAACTACCTGATCCAAATTTCCTCTTCTGCGCAAGGAGAAATAAACTGCCCACTGTTTTGCTGTCCCTTGGTGTTCATTTTTGCCCAGTGTGGTTGTTGCCAGGTTGTGTGTAGGTAGTCGCTTTGAGAAAACTTTGCTCATATTCTGGGGCGGGGGGCAGTAAGATGAGGTTTTCAAGAACCCTACAGTTCAAGGCAGCATAGGGATGCCAGCCTCCAGGTGGGACCTGGGGATCCCCTAGAATTACAAGCCATCTCCAAACTACAGAGATCAGTCCCCCTGGAGAAAATGCATGCTTTGGAGGGTGGACTCTGTGGCATTGTACCCTCATGAGACCCCTGTCCTCTCCAGGCTCCATCCCCAAATCTCCAGGAGTTTCCCAACCTGGATCTGGCAACCCCACCCCCATCCCCTGCTGGTGGTCAGGGAGACCTGGCAACCCTAGATGCCATTTTTACAGCCACACTCTAGGCTGTAGACAAGGCTGGGATGGGAATGGCTTCTGACAGCCCTGCAACGTAACATAGTTTTTGGAGGTGCGAGGCGCTTGGGGGGGGGTCAACAGTGGGAGGGCTTCTAATGTCCTGGCCCCACTGGTGGACCTCCTGATGGCACCTGGTATTTCTGGCCACTGTGTGACACAGAGCGTTGGACTGGATGGGCCTTTGGCCTGATCCAACATTGGCGTCTCTTATGTTCTTAAGACAGCCTGCTCCAGACCTGGAGCCATGGTATGCCATTGCTGCTTTACTAGAGATCCACAGAGGTTGCAAATAGTGCAAACTGGGTACAGGGGGAACATTACTGCAATCTTTTTCTGTCCCTACGGGGGAGGGATTTAAATCTTTATGATCCCACCTTCCTGCCAATGAGCTCTGGTGTAACTTATATCACTTTTGCCAATCTTCAGAACAAGCCTGTGATGAAGGTTACGTGGAGAAAGTGATAGGCCCCAAGGTCACTGAATGAGATCCGTGGCTGAGTGGGGACTCCCCAGTGAGGCACAATAGCTCCTGTATGTGTGTGAGTTAAGTTCCGTCAAGAGGCTTCCCACTTATGGCAACCCTATGAATTAATGACCTCCTGTGTGTCTTCTCATTAACAGCCTCGCTCGGGTCTTGCAAACTGAAGTCCGTGCCTTCCTTGATTGGGTCAAGCCATCTCATTTTGAGTCTTTTCCTGTTCCCGTCAACTTTTCCGAGCATGATTGTCTTTTCCACTCTTGTTTTCACAGTGATAACCCCTGCACTGTGCCAATGAGAGTTCAGGTCCTGCCCCCTGCTAGCAATTTATCTGAGACTTGGAAAGAGGAGAGGGATGGCAGCCCAGGCTTAAGACAAGGGGCCCATCTTCTTTGGTTTTAGTTTATGACCAAAGACTGCAGTCCTATGCATGCTTACCTGAGAATAAGCCCCTATTAAACCTGGAAATACTTCAAAGTAAGAATGCATAAGCTGAGGTTACAGAGCTGCACTTCTGCGCCCCTTTGCTTTGGAGTAAAACTTATTTCTGAGTAATGCTGAGGATTAAGCTGCAGGGGCTACTGGTGCAGTATACTTAAATGCATGGGATGGAGCTCTAAAACAGGGCATTCACTCAGGCTGCCAAGTTTCCAGGTGGGTCAGCAGTCTCCTGATAAATCAACTTCTGACATGCCAAGTGTCTCTGTTGGGTTTAGCAAGTTAAAACAATTCAGCAGTTACAGAGTTAACTTTGTGTTAGTCAACAGGAAGTCACATGTTTATTTGTACCCAATCTGTTTACTAAGTAGAAAGCCCGGGGAATTTTGTTGGAGGTTTTATTATAATGACCTGAACTTTAGCCCTGTGATTGACTATTTAGCATATTGAGATCCCTCTTCCTGCCTTTTGTCTTGGAGAAGAAGGAGACCCCCGTTCCTCTTAGTCCTTTGTTATTTTGCATCCTGTTTACCTTTTCCCCATATTAATTTAAACTATCGGGGATGTCTGTAGTGATATTTTGGAGTTTTCTGTGACCTGCCTTGAGTCCCTTTGGGAGAAAAGTGGCATAGCAGAGGCTTTTTTAAAGTCTTGCTTCTCGGTAAGGAGGATGTTGTGTGCAAATGTGTGTGCATAAAATGCTGTCAAGCGGCAGCTGACTTGTGATCGCCCTGGAGGGTTTTCAGGGCAAGAGACATTCAGAGGTGGTTTGCCATTGCCTGCCTCTGCCTAGCAACCCTGGACTTCCCTGGTGGTCTCCCTTCCAAGGACTAACCAGGACTGACCCTGCTTAGCTGCTGAGATCTGACGAGATGAGGCTAGGCTGGGGTACCCAAAGTCAAGGTGGTAAAGGGTAACAGCAGTCTTGAACACACGTTCGGGGAAGAAGTGATTTTGAGCAGGGAAGCAGTAGGCATGGGGGGGGCTACCTCTTTCCTCACCTGCTATTTCTTTGCTCAGTGGGCTTATACTGGAGTAACTCCCCACAGCATGGCACTGTTATGCCGTCAAAATAACAGAGAGTCTGGTGGCACTTTCCAGCTATTAAATACAGGGTTCAAGACGCATTGCAGTGAACAGCTCTACTTTATTAAGTGATTTCAGGAACAAGACTGAAAGCCCTGTTTAAATAGCATGCAATAAACCACACCCAAGCACACCCCACTAGGCTGCTTACATAACAGAGGTTTCTCATTGGTCACTTCCAGTGTTCCCTCTAAGCTGAGTTAGTGTGAGCTAGCTCCCAATTTTTTAGCCTCCAGCTCACACATTTTTGTCTTCACTCAGGAAGGATGGCTCCAGAGCAAACTAATTTCTGCCGTAGCCAAATTGGTCACTCACAACGTTAATGCCAGAAGCTCACAAAGTAAAATTTTTGCTCACAAGACTCCATAGCTTAGAGGGAGTATTGGTCACTTCCAGAGTTCTTGTGGGCTATTGTTCTAGAGCTCCAAGTTCAGCCAGTCTCTGGTATATAGTCCTGATACATAACACCAGCTTAATGCATTTATTGTGGCAGAAGCTTTTGTGAGCCCAGTTGACCAGAGGCATGACTCGGTCGAAAGCTTGTGGCTCACAAAACGTCTACCACACTAAACGTGTTAGTCTTCAAGAGAAAAAAAGTAAGTCTTTTCAAGAGGGGAATAATGCCAGAGGGTGGGGGGAAACTCAGGGTAGGAAAAGAGTAAATGAGTAAAGAAAAACAGCTAAACGATCAAAGCAAAGGATGCCTAAAGTGAGCAGCAGAACCAGGGCTATTTTTGGGCAGGAACAGAGTTCCGGCTGGCACCCAAGTTGGCCATGCCCAGCAGGAACTCATTAGCATAATAGGCCACACTCAACAGCAGAAACTCATTAGAATTGGCTACAATTAGGGATGTGGGCTAACATGCAAAAAGCCCTGGGTTTTGACAACAAACAAGGTAAACAGAATAAGAAGCAAAAGGTGGGTGTGGCTGGATGACCACACTTCTGGTAACATGGGGGTGTGGCCTAATATGCAAATGAACTGTGCTGTCAGGGTGTGGCCTAATATGCTAATGAGTTCCTGCTGGGCTTTTTCTACAAAAAGAGCCCTGAGCAGAACAATAGGGAGCCTGCCCTTGAAGAGGGCACTGTGACCTCTTTTTTGAGCGGCTCTGCCACAGGAGTCAATCCAAGGTCAAAGCAACCTCTATCCAGCAATCCCTCCCTTTCCTGACTCTCTCCAAGGACGGACCGCTCAGGAAGTAGAACCAAGTCCCTGCGCTGAAACATTTGTTTTCTAGAATATTGGACATCTGTGTCCCTTTTCTCAAATTCACTATTCTGACCGAGACAAAGGACTTATGGCAAGGCTTAAAACGGAGAGCAGGCACCAAAGGAAGCATAAACAACGCAGTAGATTGCAGGGTTTCTCCAGTCCCATAGATTTCAGTGGATTTAGACTGGAATAACTGCATAGGATTGCATGGCAATCGAATGACGTTGATGCCACTGCGGGCTCACATTCGGCATGTGCCTTGCCAGCTGCACTGGTTACCAGTTGAGTACCCAATCCGCTTCAAGGTGATGGTAATAACCTTCAAAGCCTTATACAGCCTGGGACCAACATACCTAAGGGACCACCTCTTCCCGTATACGCCTCAGAGAGCTGTAGGCTCTAATAATCAACATCTCCTGGTGTCCCTGGCCCAAAAGACGTCTGCCTAGCCTCGACCAGGGCCAGGGCCTTCTCTGCCCTGGCCCCCACCTGGTGGAACATGCTCCCCATCGAGATCAGGGCCCTGCGGGATCTTACTGAGTTCTGCAAGGCCTGCAAGACGGAGCTGTTCTGCCAGGCTTTTGGGAGAGGCAGTGGCGTCCACATATGGCCTCCCCGAGGTTGCTGTCTCCTACCTGCTGGCCATCCATCTATTGGTAACCGGCCGTATCCATCTGCATTAATGGGTCGGGACTTTCACTAGTAGCTCTATTGATTTTAAATGTTTATACTCTGCTTTTACATTTTATTGTATTCAGAAAGATGATGTGACCCGCCCTGAACCCGCTCTCGGGATGGGCAGGATACAAATACAAAAAAAAAAGAAAAGAAAGAAATTTGCTGTGCTGCAGTCCTGTGCACGTTTACTTGAGAATAAGCAGCACTGAAGAGAGCCGGGCTTTCCCCTGTGCAGCCACGCATCGGGGAGGGTGGGGAGGGAAGGCTAGCTTCACTCCACAGCTGCTTCCTCCAGGCTTGTGTTCAGCCGAAATGGCTCGATAGATATTCTGGGATGATTTCATTTTGGATTTTTACATTTGAGGACTAGAAACATGCTTAGGACAACCGTTTCTGGACATTGTTCCAGGGTGCAATGGTCAGGATACAAACTCAGTAAGCACCATGGGATATACATGGCAGGGTGCCGGTTTGGTGTAGTGGTTAAGAGTGGCGGGCTCTAATCTAGGAGAACCGTGTTTGATTCTCCACTCCTCCACATGCAGCTGCTGGTGAGGCCTTGGGTCAGTCGTAAGTTCTTTCAGAGCTGTTCTCTCAGGAGCAGTTCTCCAGCGAGCTCTCTCAGCCCCACCTACCTCACAGGGTGTCTGTTGTAGGGAAGGGAAAGGAGATGGTACGTCACTCTGAGACTCCTTCGGGTAGTGAAGCACAGGGTATAAATGCAATTTCTTCTCTCTCCTCCTCTTCAGATAGCTAGCAGGGCAGCTTCCTCCTCCCCAAATTCCCCCAAAGTACAACAGGATTTGTATGTTATATTGACTCATTTTAAAACATTTAGCACCTGGCTACCCTCAAAAAGCTCAAATGCAGTTTAAAAAATGCTTATGTAAAAAAAAAAAGATTAACTCGGAAAGAATTATTTAAATACCAAATATAAAAACAATCTATGAACACCACAAAGCTAAACTGTGGCAGGTGTCAAGCTGCAGCTGACTTAGGGCGACCTCGGAGGGTTTTCAAGGCAAATGTCCAGAGGTAGTTTGCTGTCACCTCCCTTTGGGTAGAAACCCTGGACTTCCTTGGTGGTCCCCCATCCAAGTACTACCAGAGCTCACCCTTCTTAGCTTCTGAGATCTAATGAGCTTGGGTTAGCCTGGGCCATTTGGATCAGGCCAAAGCTAAATACTCAGAAACAATGTTACACTCACATCTTATTTGGACTCTCCTATGGAACAGGGCAGGGAAATAAATGCTCACAATTTGCTTAATGTTCTCACCACATCCTAGTGGCTTTCTGCTCACGAAACTTGCCGTATCCTATTTCCCGTGAGCTCAGTCTGTGGCGTTTCCAGGTGTGCAGGTTTATGTAAATGATCCTTGGTGATTCAGGAACCTCCCCGCTCTCCCCTTAAGAAGCAAATAATCTTTGCACCAGCTCCATTCTCTCTTCCAGACCACGGTGCATGTTCAGGATGGGTCACTCTCTCCCACCCTTTCTCTTCCTATCTGTCTTGGTCCTCTCTGGTTACATTTCCGTAGCCCAGGACCTTTCTTCCCCCCTGAGAAAGGACGGAGATTATACCATTGCAGGGCTGTTCCGAATTCACCGCATCACCTTCGAAATGAAATCCAGGCCAGAGGTTGACATTTGTGCGAGGTAAGTGGATTTGCAATTCTGCAGGACGGAGGGAGGGAGGAGGTCAGTCCATCCTATGCAATAAAAGTGGTATGGAATTGTAATGATGGTAGAGGTGGGACCATGGCTCAGCAGCAGAGGAGCTGCTTTGCTTGCAGAAGGTCCTGGGTTCTGTCCCCAGCGTCACCAGTTACAAGGATCCGTTAGGAGGTGACATGAAAGACCTCTGCCCGAGACCCTGGAGAGCAGCTGCCAGTTAAGAGCAGGCCCGTAGCCAGGATTTTTTAAATTCAGGGGGCCTTTAAATAAGTCGGGGAACATCCTGCATACCCCACAAGGGAGCGCCACAAATTTAAAAAATTGGAAGTTGGGGGGCCTGGGCTGGATGGGAAATGGGGGGGCTTGGGCAGAAGTCAGGGGGCCAGGCCCCAAGATGCCCCCCTGTAGCTATGGGCCTGGTCAAGAGTAGACAATACTGACCTTGGTAGACCAAGGCTCTGATTCAGGACGAGGCAGCTTCATGTGATGTTTCCTCCCTAATACTCCAAACTCTGAAATGGCTCAGAGCAATAATAATAATAATAATAGTAATAATAATAATAATAATAATGCTTTCGATTTATTAATTGCTTTCCCCACAAGTGGGCTCAAAGTGATTTACAGTTACTCTTTTAGACAGGGGACTAACAATGTTCATAGGGGATAGGAAAGACAACATATAATTAATTTTTAATTGCACACGCCGTAACTGCACAGTGGAAATGTCTTCTGGCTTGGATCAGTCATGTCCCGAACGGCTGCATCGATCAGCTTGATGACGTTGGGGCTTCAGGACCCGTATGTCGTATCGCCACACTGCCACCGCCTGGCCGGAGCATCCCACTGCAGGGATTTTTTGTAGCCGCGTAGATTCTTCCGCCTTTCCGATCCTGGAGCAGAACGTCCCAACCGACAGCTAACACCTTCCCACAGGGGAGTTGGTGTGCCCACCCTCTCTAAGGAATGGTTCCCATTTTATCTACTCGCCGAGGCTTTCGAATCGCTGGGTGGACGATGAGCTGGGGACAACAGGCTGGCTGCTCACACCAGCGCGGGGCTCGAACTGACACAGTTCGGATGTTAAGACAGTGGGATATACCCACTGTGCCACTGCTCTTGTACCTCCGCACCCTCTTAGCTCTGCTTGCTGTTTACACAAAAGCTTTCTAGTATGTGGTGGTACACATCTTCTACAATATCATAGCTAGGCACGACCCCTTACTGGGACATTGTTTGTTCCCAACTTGAAGCACCCCCTCCCCTCCTTGCTTCCCCAGGGATTTACTGATGCGGCATAGATTTGCTGTTGATTTTTGAGCTTCTGTTTGTCTCGATCTTCCTGTCTGTTGGCTGCCCTGACCCGGGTGGCCGAGGCGAGCCTGATCTCGGAAGCTAAGCAGGGTTGGCCCTGGTTAGCACTTAGATGGGAGACCACCAAGGAAGTCCAGGGTTGCTCTGCAGAAGCAGGCAACAGCAAACCACTCCTGCTCGTCTCCTGCCTTGAAAATCCTACAAGTCATTGTAAGTCAGCTGTGACTTGATGGCGCCTTCTACCACCATCTGTTGGCCTCGGTTTTGTACATTGCTTTAGTGAGAAGGGCCAGCCAGTGACTTCAAGTCAACCCTCTCCCCTGGTCAAATGATTCCGACAGTCTTTCAGGTCCAAGTTCCTCTGTGGCTTTTCTCGTTCCAACAGCATGGGGAACAGGAGCAGTCACGGCTACTACCTCGCCCAGGCCATGCGGGTCAGCATTGCGGAAATCAACAACTCCAGATGCCTCCTCCCAAACGTCACGTTGGGCTATGAAATCTATGACATCTGCTCGCAGTTGACCAACCTGTATGCCACGCTCGGACTCCTGTCCCAGGGGGCCGAGGGCTGTCACAGCCATCAACACATCCCCGTTGCCGACAACTACACAGGCTACCTGCCCAAAGCGGTGGCCGTGATCGGGCCGGACAGCAGTGAGAATGCTCTGATTACAGCCAGCCTGCTGGGCATCTTCCTCATGCCAGAGGTAACCCTGGAAAGACTGCAGTTGATGGGTTAGACCCAACCGAGGTTGTCTGCTACTGTCTGAAGAAGGGTGTGGATGGTGTTACCTGGGGTGCGGACGGGGTCATTCAGGATGAGATGTGCAGCGGGTTCTGACCTTCGCACTAACTGCCCTGCAAGCTTTGCTCACTGATAAGGGAGGGACCGTGGCTCAGTGGTGGAAGCCATGCCTTGCCTACAGAAGGTCACAGGTTCAATCCCCTGCATTATTAGCAGCTGTTGGGGGAAATCTTTCTCAGTTCAAAGTGTTGACAGGCAGAGTAGACAATTCTGATGGTCCAGCAGTCTGACTCTGTAACAAACAAAAGAGGACCACAGTAGCGTCACCAGTGTAAAAAAACCCAACCACCAACAATACAAAGTGCACAGAAGACTACAGATATTAACCAAGGCAGAGACTCTGGGTCTGGGGTCCCCAACTGTTTTGAGCCTGCAGGCACCTTTGGAATTGTGACACAGCATGGTGGGTGCAGCCGCAAAATGGCCAATCAGAAGCCAAGGCCCCTTCCACTCACTGTCTAAAAACACTTGGTGGGTGCTTGGAAAAGTGCCATGGTGCCCACAAGCTCCACATTGGGGACTCCTGCTCCAGATAAATTCACATTTCATGTCTTCATCAGATTCATAAGACGTTTTCAGGGGGAAACACGCACACACTCCATTGTGTGCCAAAACAGGACCTGAAGCCATCTCCTCTCCGTATAAATCCATCTGAATTAAAGATTTGCACCTTCCAGTATCAGGGTAGATACCCACATTTTCACCACCTCTGATCAGACAAGGAATGAATCTGCTTCCAGTCCTAGTAACATTGGATTGGAAAATGCAGGTGCCCATCCCATCCCCACGCTGGGTGGGTATAAACCTACTTATTCAGAGGTGGGTGGGGTTAGATGAAGATACGGCGGATTCCCATCCTGTTCTGCCACACACTGGCATATTGGGGGAAGGGTTGTCTCAGGATGTCTTGAGAGTCTGATGGAGACCCAAAATGAGAATTGATCTTTTAATATTGGTAATTTTCTTTTAAAGCTTTTAAAATTGGTACCTTTTAATATTGGTAATTTTCCATACGTGTCATACAGCTTTTTTTTTTACATTGCCAACACTATTGAACCAATTGCTCGTAGTCCTGTCTTCTTCCACTGACGACCAGCCCTTCTTTCCCATCCTTTCTGACTCTGTATAAGACATGGATGGCCCAGGCTAGTCCAATCTTGTCAGATTTCGGAAGATGAGCAGGGTCGACCCTGCTTAGTAACAGGATGGGAGACCACCAAGGAATGCTGGAGTCCCTGTGCAGTGGAAGGCAATGGCAAACCAGCTCTAAATGTCTCTTGCCTTGAAAACTGTGTTGGGTAGTAGCCTGTAACTTGACAGCGTTTATTACTGCATAAGACATCACGGATGTCATTTTAAAGCACAGCATCTTATCCTTACAACATGTTCTTCTATCATGTTCTGTCCTGAGATTTCAAATGTTCCATTTCCCACTGAGTGCACGGGAAGGCATAAAAGGCACTTTACCAGTGTTTTGATTCACAAGTGACGCTGCTGTATACTGATTCAGGCTCTTGGTCCTCTCTAGGGTTGCCAGGTCCCCCCTGGCCACTGGAGGGGGATTGGGGGGGGGATAGGACTGCCAGATCCAGGTTGGGAAACTCATGAAGATTTGCGGATGAAGCCTGGGGAGGGGAGGGACCTCGGTGGGGTGCAGTGCCATAGAGTCCACCCTCCAAAGCAGCCTTTTCTCCAGGGGGACTGAGCTCTGTAGTTTTGAGATGAACTGTAATTCTGGGGGATCCCCAGGTCCCACCTGGAGGTTGGCATCCCTAGTCCCCCAGGTGAGTATTTTGTACTCTGGCTGGCAGCGGCTCCCTGGGGTATCAGGAAGAGGTCTTTCACTCCCTCCCTTTAACTGGAGATACAGGGGATTGATCACCTTTTGCATGTAAAGCAGATGATTTACTACTGAACCACCATATTTCTAGATATATATATTTTATTGAATCTATTGGCTTACTGGCTATCTAGCATTGGAGAAATTATTTTTATTGTGTTGCTTACTGTTGAATGCATTTCATTGTTGTTATTAAAGTGTACTTTTACTTTAGTCCCCCCCCCCTTTTTTGTTTCTCTAGGTTATTTTTAACCAAAATAACAATTTATTTACTTCTCTTATCTCGTGGCCTTCTCCCTAACAGGGGACACACAGCAGCTTCCAATAGCATCCTCCCCTTCTCAGTTTTATTTCGCAACAATATAATATCAATTATATTGATATAACAATTAACAATTATAATATCACACCGTCATACTTAATTGATTTTAAATTGTATTTTTCTGTAATTTTATTGAGTGTGCTTTATGTTGGTTTTAAAATTGTAAGCCGCCCTGAGCCACTTCGGCAGGAGGGCGGGGTAGAAATCTAATTAATAAATATAAATAATAAATAAATAAACAACCCAGTCAGGTAGGTTAGGCTGAGAACCACTGACTGGTCCAAGATGACCCCAGCAAGCTTCCATGGCAGAGTGGAGCTAAGAACATAAGAGAACATAAGAGACACCAATGTTGGATCAAGCCAGTGACCCATCCAGTCCAACACTCTGTCACACAGTGGCCAAAAATACCAGGTGCCATCAGGAGGTCCAGCAGTGGGGCCAGGACATTAGAAACCCTCCCACTGTTGACCCCCCCCCAAGCACCAAGAAGACAGAGCATCACATGCCCCAGAGTTCCTATCTATACCTTGTGGCTAATAGCCACTGATGGACCTCTGCGCCATATGCTTATCTAATTCCCTTTTGAAGCCATCCATGCTTGTAGCTGCCACCACTTCCTGTGGCAGTGATTCGAACCTGGGGCTCCCCTATCCTAGTCTGACCCTATATCCTCTACACCACACTGGCTGTCAAACCCCTTCTTTACCAGGCAGGACATAGTGACCCGGTGGGAAGTTGTACAAGGGAGAGTTTCTTGGTGGATTGTGCCCACAATGAATATAGCCAGCAAAGGAAACACCTTTGGCATTTTTAAATAATGGGATTGGCACTCAGGCCCTGATTTTCATTTCACTGTTTTACGTATAGCAGAACATCCCTCTTTTCCCCTACGGAATGTTGCAGTGGGGAAGATTCCACCTTGGTCTACTTACCTTCCAATCCTTACCACCAACATTCTCTCCTGCACTGTTTTGGTTTGCCCTGCCCCTCTCTTCTCCAGATCAGCTACGAAGCCAGCAGTCCAATACTAAGCCGTAAGCGTGCCCACCCCTCCTTCCTGCGCACTATCCCCAGTGACCGCCTGCAAGCAGAGGCCTTGGTGAGACTGCTGAAGGATTTCCAGTGGACCTGGGTGGCGGCGGTGGGCAGCGACAATACCTATGGGCGCCAGGGCCTGCACACGTTGCACGAGGTGGCCATCAAGGAAGGCATCTGCTTCGCCTATCAAGGGATCATCTTCATGGAGACTAGCAGCCAGGAACTGGTGGAAAATGTGCACGCTGTACTAGCCTCCAAAACGGAGGTTGTCATCCTCTTTGCCAACAAGCGCGGCGCCACGATGTTCTTCCAGGAGGTCGTGCGGCAAAACGTAACCGGGAAGGTGTGGCTGGGCACAGAGGACTGGTCATTGTCTCGAGAAATCTGGGACATCCACGGCATTCGCAGTATTGGCACGGTGATTGGGGTGACGATCATGCAGGCGCCACTCCCAGAAATGTGGGACTTTGAGGCTGCTTCCAGGCATTCGGAGAGTCACAGACCCCAGGCCTCCTGTTTTCAGGGTTGCAACAAGACCTGCAGCCAGCTCTGTTCCCAGTTATATGTACCAGCCCTACAACCTTTACTGGAGCCATCGCCATATGACACTCAAGCAGCTTTCAATGTGTATTCTGCCATCTATGCTGTGGCACACAGTCTCCATCGCTTGCTGGGCTGCCGAACAGGGGTGTGCCGCAAGAATACCGTCTATCCCTGGCAGGTGGGCATCCATTTCTCACTGGGTATGTCAAACACCATGCCTAGCTGGGGGAAAGAGAAAAGAGTTGGGGGAGTTTCCATGAGGGGGAAACACACTGAGCTTTCCTGAGTTTCTGGGGGAAAGGGAGAAATGAAATGACGAGGAAGCCTCCAGCCAGTACCTGATATGCCCCTGCTCTTAACCAAACCATGGCACTATAGCAGGGCTTGGTGCCCTTTTCTAATGAAAGAGCCAGACTGCATCAACAGGCAGAGCCAGAAATCAACACAGAGCCAGTAAAATAGTATTGAATTTATTGCATTTATTGTTCATGGCCATTGGCCTTCACCATTAAAATATTTCTAAAACATAAATACAGGCAAGCAAGGTTAAAATTCTAAAACCTAAGCATACAGTCAGAACAATAATACTGGAACAATTCCGTCAGAGGTATTCTTAGAAAGTTCGCTCTGATCTTCCTAGCAGCCAGAGCAAAAAAGAGCCAATCTGTAAGAAACAGAAGACTCCATATCGGAGAGCATATAAACTAATTTTGGGGGTTCTGAAAAGCACTGTAAATTAGCTAAAATCATAGTCAGGAATTTATTCCTGGGACCCAGATACAAAGGACAGGTCAGAACATAATGTGGTAGGTCTTCCACAGAGCTTTTACACAAGCAAATATGTCAGCAGTATGATAAAGCCCATAGTATAACTGAAAACATACAGTTTAACGTTACTGACAACTGACATGTGGATTAATAATCCATACAATTTCCACAGTGCAAATACCCATTGTACCGAGTCCTTTATTGTGAAGTGGCAGACAAGAAGCCTCACAATGTCATCAACGTACACAGGAGCACCTTGCATGATTGTTTTAGTGCGCTTGGATTAATCTGGACCTGGTTCACACTTTGATTATTGGCAACTGTTCATCTCTGGCTTGTCCTATCTCTTAGAAGCCTTTCAGTCCCACAAAAATCTTTGCTTACCCTTCCCAACATATGTTAACTTGAAGATTTCATTTTCATTTCAAAAGACCCGCATTTGACTCTAGTGCTATAGGTTGCAAACCCATGGGCTTTACTGACTCTCTAAATGAGCAGGGATTCCATCAGAAACAAGATGGGCAGGGCAACCATCTTTGCTGAGGAGCAGAGTTTTTTTACAGCCTGATCCTCTACACATTTACTTCAAAGTAAGCCCTGCTGAGCACAGAAGGCCATTGAAAAAACATACATAGGATTGCAGTTTTGTTGCATATTGTTCTCCATTAGCAACTGAGATCAGACTTGAGAATTGGTTTGAATTGGATCATAAGCGGCTACTCAGCATGTAATGATTTTTTTTTAAAACCCTCAGAATTTAGAGATACGGGTGGGGGAAGGGGGGGAAATACACATCAGAAAAAGTTCCCAAATTTATAGTGTGATCCTAAACAGAGTCACACCCTTCTAAGTCCATTGACTTCAAAAGGTTTTCAACAAGGTAATTCTGTTTAGGTTTGCATGGATGATGCTGGGGAAGACTGACCACAGAGATGCTTGCTTCACCTAGACAGAGTGGAAATATCAATTCAAGTTTTATTTGCTCATTTTTTAATTCACCCAGCAGCTAAATTGCTGCTCCGGCAACAAAGCAACCACCTCATCCATTTAATTTAACCACCTTCCCAGCAGGAAACAAACTCTTGTCAATACCACAAACTTCACTGGTGTTAGAGTCATTTCCTCTTCATCAGGGAAACTCTGGAAACTGCCATTGAGCTTGAAGTTATCCCTCACCAAACGGTAATAGGATATGGGGGACGGGGTACCATAATAGTTATCCAGGGATGTATCTGAAGAAATGTGCAGGCACACGAAAGCTTATACCCAGAATTAAACTTGTTGGTCTTAAAGGTGCCCTGGAACTCCAACTTTGTTCTGTCGCTCCAGACCAACACAGCTACCCTCCTGAAGTTATCGAGGAATGAAACCAAAACAAGTTTGCACTGTCGTCAAACCCTTGGACAGTGACTCTCACACTTTCTCATTCTCTCCTGCAGCTCCTCAAAGAAATTAAAGAGGTGAACTTCAGCGTGAAAGGCAGGCAGATTTATTTCGACAGCAATGGGGACCCCCTGACAGGCTACGACATTGTCCAGTGGAAGTGGGCAGACCAGATATGGTCCTTCGATGTGATCGCCATATTCAGCAGTAACCCAGTCAACCTGACCATCCATTGGGAGAAACTGCAGTGGCACACTCGAGATAACCAGGTGAGGAGAAGACCTGAGAGTTACAAGGTGGCAGAAAGGTCGTTCTGCTCGCCCCCCCTCCCCGAGTACTAGCAGCATTTTGGAACTGGATGGTCTGTTCCTCCTGTGGTGCTTGATGTTACCTCTAGTCAAACAAGATTGACAAGTTTTTATATAGTTTCAAAGCCTGCCCTGCAAAACAAGTTTAATGGTGGTGGTGGGGGGGACAGTGGGGCTGAAGGACTAAATATGCGCATGGTGTGGGATACAATCCCTGTCGGAAGTGGCTGTCTGCAACCAGTGGCCTTGTGAAAACAATTGGTGTGTTAATCAGAGAGCTCGCTTGTCCTCTGAGCCTCCCAAGTCCCAAAGCCTTGAATGTGTGAAATTGCCTGATACTGAATCAGACCATTCGTCTGCTAGGGTCAGTATCATCTGCCCTGACTGGCTGTCCAAGGTCTCAGGCTGAGGTCATTCACTTCACCTCCTACCAATGTTCCCCCTAAGCTGTGGGGTCTTGTGAGCAAAAATTCTACTTTGTGAGCTACCGGCATTAAAGTTGTGAGCAAGCAATATGGCTAGTGCATAAATTAGCTTGCTCTGGAGCCATCCTTCCTGAGCTAAGACAAAAAATGTGTGAGCCGGAGGCTGAAAAGCTGTGAGCTAGCTCACACTAACTCAGCTTAGAGGGAACACTGCCTCCTACCCGATTCTTTGACTGGAGATCCCAGAGATTGAACCTGGGGCCTCCTGCATGCAGAGCAGATGCTCTACCACTGAACCATGGCACCTTCCCATTCCCACTGGGGCTGTATCATGTGATATTTCTGAACCAGAAGAGCCCTGCTTGGATTAGTCCATCTAGTCGAACCCCGTTGCCTTGGAGGGCCCACAAAGTGAACACAGAGACCAAGGCCTCTCCCTGACATTGCATCCTAGGGTTGGTTTTCAGAGGTTAACTGCCTCTAGGTATGGAAGATCCCCTCATTCACCATGGCAGATGTGGAGTGAATGCGGAGACTTCTGTGGAACGCAAATCCTCGAAGTGCTCCGAATGCAGAGCAAAATGCAAATGCAAAAAAGACCCTCTTCTCGGCGAATCCATCTAATCCCCTTTGAAAGGCTTCTCTGCATGGTTTGAATGAAATGCTTTTGGCAAATTCAATACTCCCATGGTTTAGCCACTGGGACCACAACATGGACTCAAGTATGTACCTCGAAATGATCTGGCCACCCTGTTTTGTGCTCCTCCTTCCCAGGTTCCTGTCTCGGTCTGTTCCAAAGACTGTGCGGTGGGGGAACAGAAGGTACTGCAGGGGATCCATCAGTGCTGTTTCCACTGCGTCACCTGCTCTCCAGGGACCTTCCTGAACAAGAGCAGTGAGTGAAGCATCGGCAGGCAGCCCACAAGGAAAGGGAAGCCGGCCGGCCTGGTTTCACCTCCCTTCCCTCAATCCTGTGGCTTCCCCCAGGCACCCGATGGCTGAGCTTGAAGATGCAAAACTCTCCTTCCTGTGTCCCTCTGAAACAGGGTGGCATGTAAATAGGAGCCCTTCAAGCTGTTTTGCTTTGCCACCCTAGGTGAAAATCCGTCATTCCTGAAACTTCCACTCTTCAGGCATTGGGGGGGGGGATGCAGGAGAATGGCCACTGTACTCCCATAAGGTTGCCAACCTCCAGTTGGTGGCTGGAGATCTCCTGTTATTACAACTGGTCTCCAGGTGACAGAGGTCAGTTCCCCTGGAGAAAAATGGCCACCTTGGAAGGTGGGCTCTGTGGTATCAGATCCTACTGATATCCCACCCCTCTCCAAACCCCGCCCTCCCCAGTCTCTACCCCCAAAATCTCCAGGGATTTCCCAACCTGAAGCTGGCAACCCTCTACTTCCCCCTCGACTGTAGCCCCTCTTCCCTTGCTGCGCAAAATGAATGGGGCATGAGGACGGAGCTGCCATCAGGAATGTCATGGAGAGAGGGGGCAATGGCCACAACAAAGACTTTTGGGTCCCCAGGGGCTTAGATGAGGGACAAATGGCATCACCCCCCCTCTAACAGATCCACCCTCCCATTCCATACAAGTTAATGGACAGCTCCATTCTATGCACTTATGCATATGGCAGGAAGAGCCAAACTCAGACTTTACTTAGGGGTCCACCCCACAAGCACACATGGCACCTTACAGAGCCAGCTATTATACTCTCATCTACTCTCTCCATTCCTCACAGCTCCTCCTCCTCCCCCCGAGGCTGGAGAGCTGAATTCTTCCCCACCATCTTGGAGAGCATATTGTTTTATTTATTGCTCTGTTTCTGGATAGTTTTAATGTTGGTTTTAATTTAAATTATTTATTGTATTCTATTCTGTTGTAAGCTGCCCTGAGCCCTACTTGTAAAGGTAAAGGTTCCCTTGCTCGAAAGCCAGTTGAATCCGACTCTAGGGTTGCGGTGGTCATCTCCGTTTCAAAGCCGAAGAGCCAGCGCTGTCCGAAGACGTTTCCGTGGTCATGTGGCCGGCATGACTAAACACCAAGGCACACGGAATGCTGTTACCTTCCCACTGAAGTGGTACCTATATATCTACTTGCAATTTCTTGCTTTCGAACTGCTAGATTGGCAGGAGCTGGAACTAGAGACGGGAGCTCACTCCGTCATGCGGCACACTCGGGTCTCGAACTGCTGAACTACCGACCTTCCACAGCCTGCAGTTCAGTGTCTAATCTAATCTAATCTAATTTAATAAATATATTATTATCATTATCATCATCATCATCATCATTTACCCCACCCTACCCCACAAGTGGGCTCAGGGCAGCTTACACCATAAAACCATCGGACAATAAAAACAATAAAACAATCAATGGCAGCAGCAGATGATAAAAAAACCCCGTGCCTCATGTCAGGCAAGGAACAGCAGTGCCCAAATAATATCCAAAACAGCCGGGGCACTGGGAGGGGGATCCTGGGCAGGGACAGGGGAGGCCGGAATGGTTGAACGCCCGCCCCCTCAACCAAAGGCCTGGCGGCTCCGCTTTACAGGCCCTGTGGAACTGTAGTAAGTCCCGCAGGGCCCTCATCTCAAGCAGGAGCATCTTCCACCAGGCTGGGGCAAGGGCTGAAAAAGCCCTCGCCCTGGCCGAGGCTAAGCGGACGTCCCTCAGGCCAGGGACCACCAGGAGATGATGGTCAGAATAGCGTACAGCTCTCCAGGGCTCCTATGGGGAAAGGCAGTCCCTCAGGAATGATGGTCCCAGTGGGGCTGGTGTTTCTGCACGCGTGCGAGATCTGCTTCCACTGATTTCCCCTTTCCCTCTCCCAGATCCCTATACCTGTCAGATGTGCCAGGAAGACGAGTGGGCCCCAGCCGGAAGTGAGACCTGCTTCCCCCGAGCCACCATCTTCCTCCACTGGAGCGACCGCATCTCTCAGGCTCTGCTGTCTGCCGCCACCCTGCTCCTCGTGCTGCTGGCCGGGGCCCTGTTCGTCTTTGCCCAGAAAGCCAACACGCCTGTCGTGAGGTCCGCCGGGGGCTGGCTGTGCTTCGTCATGTTGAGCGCTCTGGCTGGTGCCAACGCCAGCCTCTACTGCTACTTTGGGGTCCCCAGCAGGTACACCTGCCTGCTGAGGACATCCATGTACACCGTCAGCTTTAACATCTGCCTGGCCTGCATGGCAGCCCGCTCCTTCCAGATCATCTTGATCTTCAAGATGGCTTCCAAGGCTCCGGGCCTGTACGAGGCCTGGAAGAATCATCACGGATGCGGCCTCTTCATAGGAGCCTGCACGGGTCTACAGGGGGCGATCTTCCTTATCTACCTGTGTGCCACCCCGCCATTTCCCCACAAGAACTACGACACGAGTGACCAAGTGACCCTCCTGGAGTGCAAAGAACGCAGCTCTGTGCTGTCTCTTTTAGGATTCGTGGGCAACGGGCTGTTGGGGATCTTCTGCTTTGTCATCAGCTACATGGGCAAAGATCTGCCCAACAGCTACAATGAGGCCAAGTGCACCACCTTCAGTCTGATTATCTACTTTGCCTCTTTAATCTCCTACTCCACCACCTTCAGCGTCTACAGGGGCAAGTACCTGCCAGCCATTCACGTCGCCTCCCTCCTCCTCCCCCTCTTCGGGATCTTTGGAGGCTACTTCGTCCCCAAGATCTATCCTCTTCAGATCTGAGCGCAACACCCACGAGCATTTCCAAATGTCCATTCAGAGCTACACCAAGAAGAAAAATGTGTCAGACTGAAGTGGTGCTGGGGGGACCGGGGACGCCCACACGAGAACGGGACTCGTTCAGCTCAGTAGGTTCTATCAGTGGCTTTCTGAGGTGGCGGAACAGCAGAGGTTTGCCGCTGAGCAGGAAGCTCCTCTAGAGGAGCGGTTCTCAAACTTTTGGGAAGCAGGACCCACTTCTAAGCTTACTGCGCCATCTGAAGCATGCCAATAGACTTAGAAGGGAGTAGCTCTGCTTAAGACGGGACAATGAGCCAGTTTGGTGTAGTGGTTAAGTGCGCGGACTCTAATCTGGGAGAACCGGGTTTGATTCCCCACTCCTCCACTTGCACCTGGCTGGATGGCCTTGGGCAAGCCGTAGCTCTGATAAGAGCTGTTCTTGAAAAAGAGCAGTTTCTGTTGGAGCTCTCTCAGCCCCACCTACCTCACAGGGTGTCTGTTGTGGGGAGGGGAAGGGAAAGGAGTTTGTAAGCCGCTCTGAGACACCTTTGGGTAGTGAAGGGCGGGGTATAAATCCAATCTCCTCCTCCTCCTCCTCCTCTTCTTCTTCTTCTTCTTCTCACCCGACTGTATTTTTCAGGACCCGCTTGCTAAGTAATTCTGTGCGACTTTCCCCTTCCTAGCACCAAACACAAGAATCTCTCATCACTTTACACTGAAATTTATTTTATTTTTCATATTTTGTCTTTATCAATGGGTTGGTTCCCTGTGGAGAAGGCGGCACTGGAGGCTAATGACATTTTTGTACTATTTGCTTTGGTGTTAGAAGTAGAGCCCAGGACTGAAGGCACAGAGATGCTCCCAGCCCAGGGGACAGCAGCGCCACTAGCCCACACCAGTTGCAGCGAGCAAGAGAACACATGCTCCGGTTCCAAGCACTGTGTGTCTGCTTCTCTCTCGGCTTGTTCCAGAATCTAAAATTCCACTTTCGTGATCAGTTTAGTTTCCTCTACTTATTGGCTGTAAACGTTGAATTTAATTTGTGGTTTTTATGGTTTTTGTTCTATTCATAGTATAAACTGCCTCATTTCCCATAAGGTAGAAAGACAACTAATAAATGCCTTAAATAAATAAACAATATTTGCCTTCTCCGCTCAGCTTGTGTGTGTGTATGGAGGGCCCCCCTTTGAAGCCCTATAGACAAAGCCATCTTCTAATACTGCAACCCCACCGAGGAGATGCCTACGGTCATTAAGAAACATTTTCCCCTGAACTGATGATTTATGGGTCTGAAGAATAGGAGAGTGAGAAATGAATTATAGATAAAAGAGAGGGGTTTTTTTTTCTTTTATGGATCTATAGAGAGAGGGAATAGAAAATTGATGTACCAATTGTAGATGAAAATAGAATTATATTCCTTTTCCCTTACGATTTTTCTTAATTCAATTTTCTGTACATTTTCTTTTGTTTTATGTATTTTCATTAAAAGTTTAATAAAAAAGAAACATTTCCCTCTGAGGCCCCCCGCTCTAGGCCAAGCCCATGGGATAGACTCCTTCAAAGTAACCCATTCCTCCAAGCCTGCTGCATCAGCACACTGTATTTCATGCCTATTTCACACATCATACAGAGGCAAAGCCAAAATTTGCAGTTGAGCCTCCCAGAGTCTTCTTTCTCAAGTCAACCTTGTTCCTCCTCCACCACCCTTTCGGCCTCCAAGAGAGTCACCACCAATGTTCCCTCTAAGCTGTGGAGTCTTGTGAGCAAAAATTCTATTTTGTGAGCTACGGGCATTAAAGTTGTGAGCGAGTGACTTGGCTACTGCATAAATTAGTTTGCTCTGGAGCCCTCCTTCCTGAGCTAAGACAAAAATGTGTGAGCTGGAGGCTGAAAAACTGTGAGCTAGCTCACACTAACTCAGCTTAGAGGGAACACTGGTCACCACCCACTTTGGGATCCCGATTTGAGAACCACTTCTGTAGAGGGAACGCAATTCCCCAGCCAAACTCTTTAATCGACATAGTTCAAGATTTATTTTTCTACGTATTTATACCCCACTTTTCTCCCCAGTAGGGAACCCAACTTCATTCTTGGTTTTATCCTCACAGCATCCATCCTCTGAGGTAGGCTGGGCTGAATGACTGGCCCAGGTTCCCCCAGTGAGCTTCTGTGGCAAAGTGGGGATTGAAACCTTGCTCTCTGGGTGCCTAGTCCAGCCCTCTGCTGTGGTCTCCACCAATGTTCCCTCTAAGTTGCAGAGTCTTGTGAGCAAAAATTCTACTTTGTGAGCTCCTGGCATTAAAACTGTGAGCAGGTGATCTGGCTGCGGCATAAATTAGTTTGCTCTGGAGCCATCCTTTCTGAGCAAAGACAAAAATCTGTGAGCTGGAGGCTAAAAATCTGTGAGCTGGCTCACACTAACTCAGCTTAGAGGGAACACTGGTCACCTTCCCTCCACTGAAACCCCTTTTTCCTCACTCCATTATTTTAGCAGTATAGGCAGGTAGAAATTTCACGGTACAGGCTCCATTGCGCCATGCGCAGATGATGCTCCAAGCCACCATTTCCATGCAGTTCGTGCACAAAACTCTTCTGTTAGCAGCTTCCAAGGTCTTAAAGACAGAAGCAGACACTTGTTTTATTTATTTATATATTCAATTTATGAATTAAATATGGTCCATATAGTGCAGGTGAGGAAGGTGGCGGGCACAGAAAAAATGAATTCTCCAGCAATATGAGACTGGGAACATTAAGAGGCCCCCACACTGCTGAAGGAGCAGTATGGACCCCGCAACTCCTTAACTGGGCCAAGACAAGTTCTTGCCTGCATTTCTGGAGGGACGTATTTGCCTGTGATCAGATTATTGCTTTGAGCTCCTAGAGTTTATTGTTTCACTGGTCTTCTTGCAGTTTAGATGCCGGGAGTAAAACCAGGAAACGTCCTGTGTGCATCACTGAATTGATTCGGGAAGAGGAATCGTGATTAGGAAAGCCCTTGGAAAGAGGAAGAGGACACTACTCTTCCCCAGTCCCGCCCCGTTTTACCAGATGACCCCCAGTGTGTTTTTTTCCTCAAATGCAGCCCTTTCCCCTTCACATGGAACAAGCAAAAGGGGCTATAATGGGGAATATCTTTCAGGATGAAAGATCACCAGCCCACAAACATATCAAAGGCAGGTGGGGCACGGGAGCGGGCAGCAAAAGCACATTTTTCCATCCAGCAGAACAGCTTGAACCAGCCCTGCATGGAAGATCCCCCAGCATCCTGTTTCCCAGTGGCCAACCTGATGCACGTAAGGCCCATAAGGAGGAGCACAAAAGTCAAAGCCTCCTCCAGTTTTTGGCACAGCAGCTGGTACTCAGGGGTATACTACTGCTGACCATGGTGGTTCTATTTCACCATCTTCACTGACGACCACCTGGACATCACAATTTTTCACATACTAGGCCTGGGTTTCCCGACCTGACTTCGGTCGCATTGACGGTCTGCTGCTGGGAACTCATTTGTTTAAACTTCATCACTGTTTCCAGTTGGAGTAGTGATAGGACCTAGGAGCTGCACATGTGGAACTCTCATCAGGGAACAGGGTTGCCAACTCTGGGTTGGGAATCACCTGGAGTTTTAGGGGGTGGAGCCTGAGGAGGGCAGGACTTGGGGAGGGGAAGGACTTTAATGGGGTATAATTCCATAGAGTCCACCTTCCAAAGTGGCCATTTTCTCCAGGTGAACTGATCTTTGTCGCTTGGAGATCAGTTGTAGTAGCAGGAGATCTCCAGTCACCTGGGGGTTGGCAACACTATCAGGGAAAGAGGGTGGAGAGTCCAAATCTTGGAGGGTAAAGGTACTGGGTAGTGGTACTAGACAGGTTACCTCCAGTTCTGAGGCTGGGTGAAACAAGGCTCTCCTAGGTGTGAGAAATCCTTACAAGGTCGTGCAGGCTCACAATACAAGAACTCATGGACTCTCAATGAAATTGCTGAGCAGTTGGGTTAGAACGGATAAAAGGAGGTACTTTTTCACCCAAATTCACTGCCACAGGTGGGGATGGTGGCTACAAGCATGGATGGCTTCAAGAGGGAACTGGATAAACCTATGAAGCAGAGATCCATTAGTGGCTGTTAGCCACGAGGTATAGATAGGAACTCTCAGTCTGGGGCAAGTGATGCACTGCATTCTTCGTGCTTGGGAGGGGGGGCAACAGTGGGAGGGCTTCTAGCGTCCTGGCCCCACTGGTGGACCTCCTGATGGCACCTGGTGCTTTTGGCCACTGTGTGACAGAGTGTTGGACTGGATGGGCCATTGGCCTGATCCAACATTGGCTTCTCTAAGGTTCTTATGTAAGTATAGAGGAACTGTTACTTCACAAGGGTGATACAATTTGGAATATATCATTTTTGTCTTCAGAGGAAGATGAAGGCTGCCCCATCATCCTGGTTTGGCCACTGTGTGACAGATTGTTGGATTGAATGGGCCATTGGCCTGATCCAACACTGACTTCTCTTATGTTCTTATGACAGTCCTGAGCCAAGTTACACCCTGAGTAAATCCAGTGAATTCAGCAGGGTGTAACTGCTTCAGATCATTTTGGCTAATAATTTTTTTTAGTCAGGTTCACACATCATCAATCGGGGTGTGGGTTTTAGTATGTTTAATTATTTGTACTATTTTAAAAATTGGTTTTGGATTGTTTTTTCACAAGGGGAAAGAGCAGCTAAACACCAAAAATAAATGCAAAGCCATATTATTATTGGGGTAATTAATTGGGTTCATTGTTATTAACATTACGTCCAGCATTAATCATCACAATGCAATACTAATAAGTATTGTTTTTAAGATTGTTAATAGTCATAATCTCTCCTTATATATAATTGAGTTTTGGTGGGGCCACCGTCCTATGGGGTGGCGAGGAAAAATGCGCTCCCTCAGCCATTGGCCCTTCGGCTACCGCTGGCTGGTGCGTGGGGGGGAGGGCCGAGCCTCCGCTGCCTTGGCCTGCGGGGCCCTGCGAGCGGCCAGTGGAGAAACAGACGAGGCCGCGGTGGGTGAGAGGCGCTTGGACATCAGACGCAAGAGGCACCATTTGCCCATAGGAGTGGAAGGCCACCACCTCAGGGAGACAGGCAACCTTTTGAGCCCCCCGTGGCCGCCGCTGCTGGCGGTGGCCATAACTTTTAAAAGATCCCCTAACGAGAGCTGGGGGAGCCGGAATGACCTCTCACACGCGAGAGGTGGAGTTTGACCCTAGGAGTCCAAGGCCACCCCCCCGGGGCTCAGGGGGGGGGGGAAAGGTCCCCCCCCCCGCAGCTGTTGCAGCTGCAGCCGATAGCAGCGGCAGCGGCCATAACTTTTTAAAGAGCCCCTAACGAGAGCTGGGAGAGCCGGAATGTCCTCTCACACGCGAGAGGTGGAATTTGCCCCTAGGAGTCCAAGGCCACCACCCCAGGGCTCAGGGAGGCAGGGGAACTTTTTTTGGGGGGCCCCGCCTTTGCAGCTGCTGCCAACAGTGGTGGCCGCCATAACTTTTTTAATTCATAGGCTCCAAAATGGATTTTCAAAATGCATTCTCTATTGGCAATTATGTACTCCATTATCCCCTATGGGCAAGCGTCCTCTCCATTATTCCTTATGGACAGTCATGGATTCTCTATTGGCATTATGGATTTTCTATTGACAATTATCTACTCCATTATCCCCTATGGGCAAGCGACCTCTCCATTATTCTCTATGGGCAGTCATGGATTCTCTATTGGCAATTTTGAATTCTCTATTGGCAATTATGTGTGGTGGCTCAAGTTGTTAAGACGCTGAACTGCACTCTGTGGATTGTGGAAGGTCAGTAGTTCAGCAGTTCGAGACCCGGGTGCCGCATGACGGAGTGAGCTCCCATCTCTAGTTCCAGCTCCTGCCAACCTAGCAGTTCGAAAGCAAGAAATTGCAAGTAAATAAATAGGTACCACTTCGGTGGGAAGGTAACAGCGTTCCGTGCGCCTTGGTGTTTAAGTCATGCCGGCCACATGACCACGGAAACGTCTTCGGACAGCGCTGGCTCGGAGATGAGCACCGCAACCCTAGAGTCGGATTCGACTGGCTTTCGAGCAAGGGAACCTTTACCTTTTTATCCCCTCTGGGCAAGCCTACTCTCCATTATTCTCTATGGGAACTCATGTATTCAATTGGTGTCCTTAGTTTTAGTACGTCCCCATTTTGATGTATTCCTCCGTTTTGAAACTCGCGGGGGCGGGGCTGACCGGCCGTAACAGCCCCGCCTTCTTAATAATTTATCCCGACTCACCCCGCCCACGCCCGGGCTCTATGGCCCCGCCCTTACTGTCGCGCGCGTCCCCGCCCTCTGGTCTCGCGTCATGACGTCACGCGTCCCAAGATGGCGCCGGTTTGGCTCATGTCGCCCTCTCAGCCTGGGCTGTAGCCACGGTAGCGGGGGGAGGGGAGACGCGACGACATAGAGGGCTGAGGTAAATGGGAGCTGAGGGACTCCTCCTCCTCTCGCACCGGGTTTCCCCTTCCAGATGGTTGCAATGCACGAAGGGGTGTGGTGGGGGAGCCTTCCAAAATTCTTTCCTGAGAGATGGGGAGGGGAGGTAGGCAGTGCAGGCGCCCCCCCCCCCGCCTGCCCTTTCGTTTGTCTTCTGTTTATTGTTCATCATTTCCAATGATGCTTTATGCTCTGCAGCTTCTCAGCATGACAGGTGCTCTGATCATTCCTTTTCCATCTTGCCCCTCCTCCCGTAGTTGCCCAGGTGCCAGGCAAAGCTTATTTACTCTGAAGTAAATATCACTGGGGCCAGAGGGGTATTTTCCTATGTAAGCATGCTGGAGGCTGTTTTGGATTTTTCCCCTTTGTGCCACCTTCCGTTTTTGAATGAAGAGACATCTCTGTCCCCCTGTTGCTGTGTGGAGGACAGATTTGCTGTCTACTGAGCCTGCCCTTTTCCTCCTACTTTATGCCCACCTTCTCTTTAATTTGGAAGCTGTAAATGAACTCTGGAGACTGCTGTCAATGTAGAATGCAAAGGATGTTTTTTTAAAAAATTGGCAAAGGAAGTTTTTTGAGGTGGAGTGGCTGGGATCGTCTATATCTGTCCCCAGGTTTATTTCAGCCAAGCTTTTTGCAGGTGGATCCTATTAATGTAGGATGGAGCTGTGTTGCTCCACTTCTTGTTTTATTCTCTCCCCTGACCGGATTGCTGAGAACAGCAGCCTCGCAATTCCTTTCTCTTTGCATGCGCCAGGCCTGAATTCTCTGTGCTTTCATAATCCACAGTCCATGTTTTATTGATCACCGTTCTCTTCTTAATGTGTTTTAGGCAGAGTCATGTCAGCCCATCGTCAAGTATTTCATATTCACCTCTGGCAGAGCCTCCCTGGTGGTGGTGGTGAGGAGTCTGAAGAGGAGCTGTGCCCAGCCACCACCTACCCATCTCGTCTCTCTTCTTTTCCAGCAGGTCATGGAGGGCTCCTTTGTACAACACAGCGTGCGTGTTCTGCAGGAGCTCAACAAGCAGCGAGAAAGCGGACAGTACTGTGATGCCACCCTGGCAGTGGGCAGCTTGGTATTCAAGGCGCATTGGAGCGTCCTGGCATGCTGCAGCTCCTTCTTCCAGAGCATGTACGATGGAGCTTCCAGCCGGGTGATCCTGCCAGAGACCTTTGTGGAGATCTTTGCCCTGCTTCTCGACTTCTTCTACACAGGGCACTTGGCGATCACCACAGAGAACTGGAAAGAGCTTCTTGCGGCTGCCAAGGAACTCTGCATCCCGGAAGCTGTCAAGCTGTGCCAGGAATTCCAGCCCAAACACTTGGATAGTGGCGACCAGAACAGTGAGCCTTCATGTGAGAAAGACCTCAGCAGTCACTCTGAGGAGGTGACAGATGTGCAAGGAGAACCGGTCATTCAGGCTGTGCCCAAAAATGACTCCGTTCAGGAACCCAGCCTGAACCCCTGTCCCCAGGGGAACACAGTGGCCCAGGGACAACCCAGCCTGAACCCCTGTCCCCAGGGGAACAAAGTGGCCCAGGGACAAAGGGAGAGCCCCTGTATCCTTCGGGGAAGGTTGAAAAGGGCTCTCAAAACAAACACACTGAGCAATGCAGGTGAAGTAAAGAGCATCCCGGAATGTAAAGAACTAAAAAGTCCATTGAAAAGAGGAGCCACCGAGGACGCGGGCGCCAGTAATGAGGTGGCGTGTGGAGTAATGTCCTAACTAGGGATTTTTCTTTGGGTGTTACAAAAGCATTCCTGATAGAAAATAAAGGCACCTCAGAGCGGAAATGTTGTTACCAGAGATGAAGTAGCAGCAGTATAAGTTTGCTGTTATATTGGGGGAGGTACAGGAGAAGGGCAGATTTGTGAGCCACGTGGGTTGGGTCTTGAGGGGAAGCAGGAGTTGGGGATTGTGGGATTGTTGCATCTTCAGTTGAGATCCCAGTTGAGATTGTTGCATCTTCAGTTGGGTCTCTGGGGAGGCCTTTCCTCATTGTTCCATTTCCTGCAGAGCACTTGCATACTGCAGAGGAGTCTGGAAGATGGGATGCCCTCTCTGTTCTCATAGGGCCCCTGTGGACTGAGAACATGTCCTAGTAGGAACCTGAAGGTGAGCATTGCAAGGGAACATCAGTAATGGCAGGCAAGCTGGCTTCCTGGTAGGTTGATGAGCTTTTAGTGTGGAGCTCCCACTAACCTTCCAATAGGAATTTCCTGTGCTTCTCAGTTGGAAGCTGCTGCATCCAGCAGAGACCAACTGTTGATCTTCATTATTAGTTGAAAGCTGGTGGTGATCCCACACAATTAATTTGTATGCAGTTATTCAAATCTGGATGGCTGTGGTAGATGATTCCAAGATCGTCAACCATGCCTTCCAGCTACCCAAGGATGACTGAAGCAAATTGGTGTTAGTAACCCCATGTATGCAAAGATTGGATTCTGCCCCTTAAAATCATGGGATAAATGAAATATTACAGATGTGGGCTTCCTAGATTTTGCATATTCTCATGTAAATTTGTTTAGTATCTGTAGGAAAACCAGATATCAGCTATTGAAACCTCCTTGTTTAAATACATTTCTTAAAAGAAAAGCTGGAACACAGGGACTGGAAATACAGGCCCAACTTACACTATGATTGCAGAATTCCACGTTTCTTGAGAAACAATTATTGTCTGTACTGCTATTGTTGACAGCAGCAGCATGGAGTACTCGCAGCCCTGGATATCAAGATCAGTTTTCGTTATCTGTGTTAGTTCAGAAGTCATAATGGAACATCTGATAAAAGAATTTTTGGAAGGCAACGTTCATGTCTTGCAAATTCTACTAAGCATGGGCCACCCCAAGATAGCTATTATAATAATGATAATTCACAATATGTGATGCTCAGCAAAGGTAGCGTGAGGTTTAAAAGTGCCCAAACAAAGCTTGCTTACTTAAGTAAGACTCCCTGACTTTACTGTCCAGTAAAAAAAAGCAGGCCAGTGTGGCACTGTCCAGTTCTTTTACATTTATTCCAAATGTATCTAAAGAAGTGAGCTCTAACTCATGAAAATTCATACTAGAATGAGTGTTGGTTGTTAAGATGCCACTGGACTCCTGTTTCATTCTTCTGCAACAGGCTAAAATGGCTTGTCTTCTAGAATTAATTTTAGATTGTCTTCTAGACTTTATTTAAACACAGCGAACCCTGTTGTGGTTTTGTTAATTCTTAACTGAGGCTCTATCACGTTGACTGTGACTGTCCTCAGCTTTAAATCTGTGTTGTGATTTGGCCCATAATTGTACGTCGTGAGAGACCCGTGCAAACAAATCCCTTGAATTAAATTCTGCTACTGACTGCCAAAATGAAGGAAGAAACATCTGCTCTAAGAAAATTTCAAGAAGTCTGTTTCTTGACGTTAGAAGAATGCACTATTAGAAAGAATAAAGAAACAATCAGTTCCTAATTTTCTCAACTCTCAAAAGAGCTGCTGGTGTACTCTGTTTGGTTCCCAGAAACAGTCCTGAGGATTTCATTTTGGAAGATTTCCAACTTGATACCTCCCAGTAAGCCTTAAAACTTCAGTGCCATAACAGTTTTGAGACTAAAGGTTTATCTCCAGAATCTTTCAGATGTGCAGAATCTGCTTCCCTTCAAACTGCTTACAAAAACAAAATGGCCCCTGAAGCAACTTGCTCCAATTTTACCTTAATAGTGTGAATATGAATAGATCTGCACGGCCCTGAATATGCAGAGTGAAGTGCTCTGGCAGATACACAGCTTTGACTGCTGTGGTTTTCTTTTCCTTGAATGTTATTCTCACATATCCATAACCGAAGAGAATTGTCAGCTATACATAGACGTTGAATCCTTTTGTTCACCATTTAGCTTTGTTTCATAATCGTGGACTGTAATTAGCACATGCCCCTCTGTTGTAGTGTTACTGTGACAACCCCTTAACTGGGGAGGTCTGGTTTCTCTTTAAAAGTGTTCTTTATGTTTTGTTTTACTGTGTATATCCGGCTGCCACCAGGAAATTTAAGGCTTTCCAAACCTTTATACGATAATATTTCTATCACTGGGTAGGTAGGTCGGGTTAAGAGCTTTCGAGGTACTAATGTGGTCCTGGGAAGTATTTCTTTCAGAGCTGGTATCTTAATAAAAGTAGATTTATTGGTATAATTCATAAATAACAGGATAGTACTCTGTATCTAGGAATGGGTAAATACTGAACAATTCCAACTGGTTTTTCGCACACTTTTCTCTCTCACTGTTAGGGATTTTGGCATGTAACTTTGTAACACTTTTTTCTTTAGGCCATATACGTTTACTGTTTCTTTTTATCCTGTCACTCAGACTTTTTATTTTTCTCTTTAACTTTACTTTCTTCTTTCATATACATTCATCTCTTCTTCATACACAGAACTAATTCCTATATCATCCACACGACAGCTTCTCTCTCCGACCTCCGAACTATCTAACTGACTGTTTAACTGTCCTCATCAACTGTCACCCTTCAGCTGTCAAAACCTCAAACTGTCACTCCTGATAGACATACATATTCATCCACACAGCATCACTTCCAAAACCCCTCCCCCTCTCTGTCACTCACCAATCACACCACACTTGCCTCTTCAAGCACTCTAGACTATCACATGCAACCAAACTTTTAAAGAGACACACACCCATAAACAAGGAATCGTTACAGTTACCAAGTAACATTTTAAGTACTTCACTGTTTTTAAGCATGGGCAGCCATAATTGAGGATTCTCTTGTCAAGGCTGGGCCTTTACTGGATGTGTAAAAGTGACTTGTGCTGGTTTATTTTTAATTCCAGTGGGAAATTCAGGTGGTTCTGGGCCCTAATGACCTCCCTGCTGAAGATGAAGGAGGAGGAAGGAGAACTCGGGAAACAGACGAGGATTACATTCCTGGGAAGAAGAGCATCAGGACCAAAAGAAGATCTCACTTGGCCAGAAAGCCCAGTGCCTCTGAGACTGCAGGGAATAGCAACCTGTTAGAGGCTGGACTGCTTGGAAACCGCAGGGGCACGGCTGAGCCTGTAGAATGCCCCACCTGCCACAAGTCGTTTCTAAGCAAATATTATCTCAAAGTGCACAACAGGCAAGTCCCTGGTACCCTCACCCAGAAGGGACTGGTGCAGAAAGGGGTGGCGGGGGGCAGGACTAGAAACCTAGAAAAGGACAGATTCCTAGCACCAAGGCAGACGTAGAGATGTTTGCTGTAAAGCAGCTAGTGGTGCTGTTGACCACAAGACTGATTGACTGTGGGACTTCAGGGCTGGGATACACAAAGGATGGGATCACACAGTACATGAGGGAAGCTGGAGGTTTTGCTGTAGGCCAGGCGGCCTGAGGCCTGGTTCGCTCATTACACGAGAAGTTTGTAGGAGGCAATACTGGGTGAGCTTCCTTGGAAAATCTGAAGAGCATCAGCTGTCTTGAGCTCTGCTTACTGTTGCGGCTGTGGCTCACACCGGCTGTGTTTGTTTCTCCCTCTAATTTGCAGGAAACACACTGGAGAGAAGCCGTTTGAATGTTCCAAGTGTGGGAAATGCTACTTCCGGAAGGAGAACTTGCTGGAGCACGAAGCGAGGAACTGCATGAACCGCTCAGAGCAGGTACCGGGGATGGAGGAGGGGCATCTGATCAGAGCATTTGTAAAGCTTTCAAGGCTGAAACCTGAGACTCGCCTGGACAGATAAGGGTTAGTGCACCTCAGTAGGGAGGGCTGGGTTGAAGTGCTGGAGATTTCAGGTCCTCTCAGAACCATGCGGCTGCCATGATAGCCTGTGGGTGTTGGATGTGTGCTCAAGGTCTCATGGAGTGTGGCAGTTCTAACCGGCAATGGAGTTTGGTGGAGCTGGTCCCCGAGAGGCCAAGAGGGATTCACAGTCCGGAGCTGGATAAACAGTTCAGTTGAGGTGAAAAGTGCAAAGGAGAAATGGAGGTGGAGTCAGGAAAAACCAAGGTTGGAAGCCATGGAATTGGGAAGCAGACCAAGTGAACTGTGGCTCAGGAAATGGCCCAGGCTTGACCTGGAAGGATTTATAGCTGGGTCAGGAGGAAATGGTAGGCTGAAGTGGGGGAGGAGAGGACCTCTCTAGGACTTAGAAGAACTCTGCCAAAATCTCCTGCACTAAACAGTCTTGAGTGGCTCACCACCACAAGCACCAGCACGCAGGCCCAGATCCCAGGAAATCTTACTCAGCCTCCGCTACATTGCAAAGTTTCTGTAAGGACAATGAGATAATTGTGAGGGATCTTATATGTCAAGATGCAGTGTGGTATAATGGTTAGAGTGCTGGACTAGGATATGGGAGACCCGGGTTCGAATCTCCACCTTGCCACGAAAGCTTGCAGGGGGGTCCTTGGTCACGCAATCTTAACCCTGACCTACCTCACAGTGTTGTTGTGAGGATAAAATGCGGGCAGGAGAATGTGATGTAAGCTGCTTTGGGTCCCCATTGGAGAGAAAGGCAGGGAATAAATGAAGTAAACAAGTGAATAAATAGTTGTGAACGATCCTGTAGAGAAATGAGTAGTTGTAGTGCAACATCTACCCTGATCCAGGCCAAGCCAGGGTTTGGCCCTTGCTCAAAATAATCGTCTTCTCAGAGCAGCCAAGCTGATCTACATGTTTGTAAAAATCCATGTATTTGTAATAATACCCTCCATGAACTACAACATTAAAGAAATCTGGAGCATGCCAAATGAGAGGAAGCTAGAATGATTCTTCCTGACATGCTAACTTTAGGAAGTTTTTTTATATGTGGGAGCTTTTGATTCCACCCGCCCCCACCCCCTATTCTCTGGGGTGGGGTGGTTCCAGACAGGAAGTTTTTAATTCTGAATATGTAGACCTGCTGCAATGATTTCATGTTTTGGGGTGTGTGTTTCTTTAAATGTTTAGTTTGACTGCAGTAATGTAAGGAAAGTGATAGAGGGAGATGAGTGTGATGTGATTGGCTGATGACTGAGAGAGTGGGAGGAGGGGTGTCTCTGAAGAGATTCTGGGTTTTGGAGAGACAAGTGTGGAGTGTTTTTGTTTTTAGCCTGTATGGCAGAAGAAGCAGTTTGGATCTGTCCTGTGTGGCTAAGACAAACCGTTTAGCTTGTGTGGCTAAGGCTGTCAGAGTTGAGTTTGGTGTTTTGAGTGACAGTGTGTGACGCCCAGCTTTATCAGTTATGTTTATAAGTTCCTTTCTCCAACAATAGTTCAACAATAGAACAGTCCTTCCTCAGGGCCACATAGTGCTCTGAAGTGCCCAGACACAGGCCCATTCTACCATAATAGAGAGATTTGGTATTTTTAATTCCTGGTGTCCACAGTAATCTACCAATTTTATGTGAACAGAGTGTGTTTTAAAGGAAAAATAGTCTCCCCAATAAGGAGAATGTCACACTTGCTCTCTAAGTGCTCTCATAAAGTGGCTATTTCAAGTAACCCCTTCTGTAACTCCTGACTTCTTTCCTCTCCAGGTTTTCACATGCTCTGTCTGCCAGGAGGTGTTTAAGAGGCGGCTGGAGCTGCGGCTGCACATGGTGTCCCACACAGGAGAGATGCCTTATAAGGTTGGCCTGCCCTGCCCTTGGTCACGTACTCGGCCGTGACTCTGTCACTGGGTGGGCTGAGGGATCCTGGGAAACAGCATGTGCCGCTTTTCAAGGAGACTGTGTCCAGGAGACACCTTGGGATGCTTGTTGAGCTTCCTCTGTGTAGCAGCGGTGCCAGGTGTCCTCTCTGTTAAGGCTAGTAAGCAAGTGACACACACACACACCCAGCTTGGGCAACTGAGTCTTGCGTCCTGGTCCTGAATAGAACTTGAGCTTGGCAAGTGAGGTTTGGTTTCAACATACCTTTAGGGGGGAAAAGTGGTTGACCCCAAACATGTCTAATACATTCACTTTCTTCTGAAAAGTGTCCTAGTAGAAAAGGGGAAAAGCAGCTTCTTTGGGACTCCCCGGTGATGTGTTTGGTGTAGTGTAAGTCCCCTGCTATTCTCTCTCAGCCCCAGCAGTCTGCAACATAGGGATAATACTGGACTGCCTTTCAGGGTCGTTGTAAGTGTTACTAAATGAAGCACCTCGGGTATTCAGAAAGGTAATATGTAAATGCTAAGCAGTAGCTTTCAGCCAGATGTAAAACTTACAGCATCTTGGGGGAGGGAATGACTCCTACACGGTGTTTCCGTTTAAAAGAAAAGAGAAGGCGTATCTGAATTTTGACACATCTGCATTTGATTGAGTTCTTGGACAGCAGAAATCAGTGTCTGCTTCTCAATCCATGTTTCACAGGACAAAAGTAATTTGGCACTGATAACTCATTCAGGATGCTTACTATGGCTTAAGCAATTCTTTTACAGTTGTTTGCATAGATGTTTTGCCCTGTTTTGCTTTTGCCAGACATGAGGTTGGCACAGAAGCTGCCTCCTCCCCCTCCTCTAGCTAATGGGGGTCCTCTTTAATCCCTGTCCGCATTTTCAAGTTTCAACATCATGTCCTCACACTTACCTCTGGAGCTATTAAGTAACGGAATGCGTGCAAAAGCTGCCTGGCCAGACAGTTGGCTGTATGCACTGAGAGGTTCTTCTGGGCCTGCCCAGGACCAATCCGTAAGCACATTAGCAAATGTCGTACAGAAATGGCCGATGCTGATCTGTGACTCTTGTGTGTTTCAGTGCTCTTCCTGCATCCAGCAGTTCATGCAGAAGAAGGACCTGCAAAGCCACTTGATCAAGTTGCATGGAGCCCCCAAACCCCACGCGGTACGCCCTGGTGGTTCCTGGGGCTGGGGAGAGAGGATTGCTTGGGAGCTGGATGGGGTGGAGGTTAAGGTTCCAGTGTGCCAGAACAGAAAAGAAAATGGATTCTCTAGAACTAGCATCAGGGAGCCCTGAGCTCTACGAATGTTGTGGAAATGACCCAGTAACAGCAACCGTCATAGGTTTCCTATGCACAGCTTCTGTTGCATTCGCCCCCAAGTGATTCTTCAGACACCTTTATGATGGAAAAACAAGTTCTGGTACTGAGACACAGCAACAGACTAAGCGGTCGTACCTCTGCCTATGACAGGTAACTAATTCGGGTCCTCCTTTTGCTCTTCCTCCGGCAGTGCTCTGCCTGTTCCAAATGCTTCCTCTCTCGGACGGAACTCCGCCTACACGAAGCCTTCAAGCATCGTGGGGAGAAACTGTTTGTCTGTGAGGAGTGCGGTCACAGGGCCTCGAGTCGCAATGGCTTGCAGATGCACATCAAAGCCAAGCACAGGTACGCAGGGAACCTCTGACACTTCTCTTTTTATGTGCCTTTGTGTTTAGCAGGTGTGTTCAGGAGTGACTGTTCTCTCTCTGTCTCTGTCTCTCCCCGTTCCCCTCCAACCCCTCCCTCCCTGGCTGGTCCTGTCTCTGCAGGAACGAGCGGCCCTACGTGTGTGAGTTCTGCCACCATGCCTTCACCCAGAAGGCCAACCTCAACATGCATCTTCGTACCCACACTGGAGAAAAGCCCTTCCAGTGCCACCTCTGCGGCAAGACATTCCGCACGCAAGGTATGAGCGCCAGGTGGTCCTCTGCCGGGAGGTGGATGAGGCTTTATTGGTGGCCCTCGGGGCCTGCAGTTCTCTCTCAACCACTGAGGGCTTTACGAAGCAAGTGAGGAGTTGCCCCACCATCCACCACTGGGAGCAAATGGTCAGGGTCAAAGAGACAATGTTCCTTCCCCCCCCCCCCCCCCCCCGGTTCGGGGGGGGGGGGGAAGACAGGTTGCTTGAGGAAGCCCATGCTGTTGAAAGTATCTGGTGGGGGGAGGGGGTGAAAGAGCGGAGCAGAGTCCGCTACAGCTGCTTCTGCTTATGAGGGATTGGCTGTGGGGGAAAGGATGGTGTTAGACCAACCTGAGCGATCTTGTCCAGTCCTGAAAGGCCCTTTCACTTTTCTGTCCTCTGTCTGGGGTTCCCTTGTTAGCCAGCCTGGATAAACACAATCGGACCCACACGGGTGAGCGCCCCTTCAGCTGTGAGTTTTGCGGCCAAAGGTTCACGGAGAAAGGTCCGCTGCTGAGACACATCGCCAGCCGGCACCAGGAGGGGAGGCCGCACTTCTGTCAGATCTGTGGGAAAACTTTTAAAGGTAATGCCAGGGAAGGGCAGGGGTAAGAAGCCTCTTCCGCCCAAGTTCCTAAAAAGAAAAAAATCTGCCTGTGAAGATGGTGGTCTGCTGGCAAAGGAAACCAGGGTGGGGGAGATGAGGGCTGTACTTGGCTAGACAAGCCAGGAGGAAACCAAGCTTCGCTGGCACTGCCAGTACCACTGGTGCGAGCCCCGGACCTGGCTAGCAGCTCCATGGGTCCAACAGTTCCTGATAGGAACTTCCTGACAGAGCGGTTCCTAGGCGGAACAGGCTTCCTCGGGAAGTGGTGGGCTCTCCTTCTCTGGAGGTTTTCAAACAGAGGCTAGACGGCCATCTGACAGCGCAAGGCTGATTCTGTGAACTTGGGAAGATCACAAGAAGGGAGGGCAGGCAGGGTTGCCTCAGTGGTTAGTTCTCGTGGCCCTTTCTTACACGCCCAGGGAAATGCCGATCGCCCCTTCGGAGTCAGGAAGCAGTTTTTCCCCAGACCAGTTTGGCTGGGGATCCTGGTGGGTTTTTTTTGTCATCTGCTGGGCAAGGAGCAGGGATCACTGGGGTGTGTGTGTGGGGGGGGAAGTATTTGTGAATTTCCTGCATTGTGCAGAGGGTTGGACTAGATGGCCCTGGAGGTCCCTTCCAACTCCGATTCTATGAAAAGGCAACAATGGGCATGACTCATGCTTGTTGCTTTCTTCCCTGCCACCTGCCCCGGGGCACGCCTTGACTGCTGGGGTGGAAAACTGGCCTGGCTTGCCCCTGATCAGACTGTGTGTCAGGGGTTGCCTAACCCTGTTGTGTAGGGCAACCTTCATGTGCTAGGAAGCGGGCGACCGATGGCAGCAGAGTGATGCCTCTTTCTAGCGGAGAGCCTTCGTCCTGATTGAGACCCAGGAACCTCTCCCCGGTGGAGCAGGAGGGACACAGGAGCAGAACCCCACACACAAGCGGCCGAGTCTCAGCGGCTCAAGCAGCAGGGCCAGCATGCACCTGAGACGCTGAAGAGCTGCTGCCTGTCCGAGCAGACAGCAAAGCCTGTCTTGGGAGTGAGGCGGCTTCCTGCCTGCTCCAGCTTCATTGTGGAATAACATAGCAAGGCTCAGGCAGGGGTTCCTTTGGGCAGCTGTGTAACAGCCCCCCCTCCCCCCGACTTTACTTTCTCAGCTGTGGAGCAGTTGCGTGTCCACGTCCGCAGGCACAAAGGAGTGAGGAAATTCGAATGCACGGAATGCGGCTACAAGTTCACACGACAGGTACGCGGCATGTGTGCTGTTGACTCCGAGTGGCGATTCCTTGCCTTTGCCGTAGAAAAGAGCAAGATTCCGGATTCCAAGCAGTATCTGAAGAAGTGAGCAGTGACTCCTGAAAGCTTATAGGTAGAGGTTTCCCTTGCTCAAAAGCCAGTCGAATCTGACTCTTGGGTTGTGGTGCTCATCTCCATTTCCAAGCCGAAGAGCCAGCGCTGTCCAAACACATTTTCTGTGGTCACGTGGCCGGCATGAGGATGCCGAAGTGCACGGAACGCTGTTACCTTCCCACTGAAGTGGTACCTATTTATCTACTGGCAATTTCTTGGTTTTGAACTGGTAGGTTGGCAGGAGCTGGGACCAGAGACAGCTCACTCCATCATGCGGCACTCTGGTCTCGAACTGCTGAAATACCGACCTTCCAATCTGCAGTTCAGCGTCTTAACCACTTGAGCCACTGCAGCCCCTGAAAGCTTATACCCTAACCCTGCCACAAATTTTATGACTCTTTCAGGTGCTCCTGGACTCTTGCTCTTTTCTACTGCGACAGACAGACCAACACGGCTACCCATTTTGACTTTGCACAAAGACTAAGGTGGATAGGGGTGCTGGAGCAGAATCCTTCCTCTCTCTCTCCCTGTTTCCTTCTAGTCCTTGGCTTGACAGCTCTTTCCCATCTCTTCCTCTGAAGCTGGCCCTTCTTCTTCCCCACCTTGGGAGAAGCGAAGGTTTTCAAAAGTGGCTTCTGTGCCTTACTGCTTGGTATTGCAACGCCCTTTTCCAGTTGTCCAGAGCATTTTTCTAGCTTTTATCCCTGAAATCCTAGAGCAGACTTGTCGAACGGGTCAGGGTGAGTCTCCCTCTAACATAGATTGCCTAAGGCCACCTCAGGCAATCTAACACATTTTAATTTGCACCCTGTGAGGTAGGTCAGGTGGAGAAAGAGTGATTGGCCTATAATCACCCAGTGAACTTAATGGCCGAGCAGGGATTTGAACCCAATTGTCTATCAGGCCCAGTGCTAACTGCTACACCACATTTGCTCATACCTGCCGATCTTTGGGGGCCTTCCTAACTTGTAGTTGACCTGTGATTGTGAAAGGGGGGCTGTGCCGGCTCTTGTTTTGCTTTTGAGGCCCCCCTCAGCCTTTCTCTCTCTCCCCTTCCCTCCCCTGTTCTTCTGAAGGCCCATTTGAGACGCCACATGGAGATCCACGACCGGGTGGAGAACTACAACCCCCGCCAACGGAAGCTGCGCAACCTCATCATCGAGGACGAGAAGGCGGTGGTCGTCGCCCTGCAGCCCCCCCACATCCTGGAGGTGGGCTCCGCCGAGGTGATTGTGGAATCCCTCAGCCACGCCTCCCTGGCAGAGGAGATCCCCGTGCAGAGACTCTGTTCGAACGAGAACTTCGGCCCCGCAGATATCATTGAACAGTCGCTCATCATAACAATCCCCAATGACTGCGAAACGTAGCAGGCGCACCTCGGTAAAGCCCCCCCTTTCCCCAAATAAAGTTTGGGTGGCCTCACCCCTTGTAGCCTTTCGTGGGGCTATCTGAGAGATTGCACCGTCTTTTAAAATCTTTAAACTGAAAGCAAATTTTGAGTTGGTTATGCATGTTGGAGGCAGGGAACCAAACAGGGGCAGGAGAGTGAGTCTCCTTCAAGGCAATACAAGTTTGCCTTAATTTGAAGCAGCAGGCTGTCTTTGATGTTCCCCTGCACGCTGACATGCCCCCCGCTGAGATGAGTCTTGTCTGAAGAGCTGGGCAAAGCAGCAGCAGAATGAAACGGTACAGCAGCAGAACATCTCTGCCCTTGGGCCGGGGTCCTCCCTTTGGTGCCTGTGGGATCCAGGGCTGCGCCCACCGAGCATTTGTAGAAAGTGGGTGTGGCTTCTGCCCAGCAGGGCTTCTAATTGGCCACTGGAAATCTAATTGCTTGTGCAAATTAAAGTAATGTTTAGGTTGCGGTTGACACCAGTGTTGGGTTTTATTCTCTCTCTCTCTCACTCCTCTTTCCTGGTGTGTATTTTTAAATGGCTCCTCCTGTCCCCTGCGCTTGGGCTTCCGTTGAGTGTTACTCCACCTTCCGTCCTGTGATTGAGCCCACCGCCTTGTGTCACAGTTCCAGAGGATTTCCACAGGCTCAAAAAGGTTGGAGACCCCCAATAATAGGGGGAAATTTACTGGAAGGCAGGGTTGAGTTTCCTCTTTTGAGAGAGGGGTCATTTTAAAAAATCTTTTTTTAAAATCTTTTTTTTTAATTTATCTTTGGATTTATATCCCGCCCTACCCCGAAGGCTCAGGGCGGCTATGGGAGGGATGCTGTAAGAACAAAGCAAAACCTTCTTTTTAATTGAGAGGAAGCAGAAAGGTTTTCCTGCGTCTCGCCCAAAAAGCAAGCCATGTTGTCAGGAGATTCCAACTGGCACTGCCGACAGTCCTTTGGGTTTTGCATGTGATCCAAAATTGCAGATTTCCTAGCATTTGATGGTGAAAAAGTTTTGCTCCGGCTGGTAAAAAGCTCTTCAAGTTCTGGCCCAAGAACATTCTAAAGGAGGGCTGGAACACATTTGAGGTTGTTTCTCCAGGGTGAGTTAAAAGGGCACTCCTGCAGTTGGCTTGCCGTAAGAGCCACATGCCTTCCTGTGCCTTGGATATATCTGCCCATGAGGTTAGGAGTGTTCCCGCAGTTCTGCAGGGAACTGCATCTATAAAGGGGGTGGTAAAATTCCATTAGGGCTGTGTAGAAATCTTGCTCTTCCCTTTGCTGGGGTGGGGGGGGGGGAGAAAAAGTGCAGCCTTTATCTGTTGTCAGCAGAGACATCTAGGAAGTCTGAGAACTACAGCCTGAGGTCATGTCACACAATCCGCACCCCACAGCCTTGGCTGAGGCTGCCAGAAGTCGCCATGGGCGAAGGCCAGTGCTACGGACTGGGAACCCAGCTCCAAAAACACACAAGGGGTTTTACACCAGGATTGTAGAATGGAGAAGCCTGTGAGTTCTGCAACCTGCTGGTTTGAAACTCTGATGAAGCTGGGGTAACAGAGGCTTCCAGCAATTGCAGTAGTGCAGAATTACTGTGGATCCTCGAATGTAAAAAGGCTAGATACAGGTGCAGTTCTCCAACCGAGATTGTGTTCCGAAGCAGAAGTCTCTGATGCAATAAGTCTTACACTGAACACACACTTTATTCAACCTTTAGATTTTCAAGTTTAGAAGGAAAAAAATACAAAATATAATACTTTCTTCTATCCCCCCTCCCCGCCCCCTAGGGTATGTTACCATACAATACTTAAAGGCTGAACACAAGACCTACAAAAGTTAAATAAATACAAAGCTGTTCATCTGGTTCTAGAGCTTCCAAGCTGCTAAAGATCCAGCAGTGAGCATTCTGCAGGTGGGGATGGGGTGGGGATATCGTCTGAATAGACTTTAAATAGGCCAGCACACGGGACTTGACTTTTACAGATTAAGTAATACAATACAAGACGTAGGCAGCAGTAGCAGCTCAAGGTCTGTAAACAGCTGGTGTAGAGTTGAAAAAATCTGCCATCCGAAGCAAGGCCTTCTAGCAAAGGAAGGGCTTTGGGATGCAATCGGCTCCTTGGGCACAAAGGAACATACAAGTCAGAAGGGATGAGAAAACAGGCTACCTTCACAAGTGTATGTGTTGTTTTTTTTAAGGTGAGTAAAGGCTGAAGCAGGACACACCATGCAATATGCATGCACAGATGCCTGCTCCAGCAGTGAGTCTTGCACGGGCTCTCCTCCCCATGTGCCTTTCTGTTGCAGACTGGCCACAGACAGACAACCCAACCCGGTCCATTCTAGCTTCACAAGCAGCTAAACCTTTTCTGCAGACCAGCGGCGAAGTCCGCCTTTCCCTGCAACTCAGAAACAGCCGCTGCTTCTCTCTGTGATGGCCGCCACCCTGGGGATGCCTTCTTCAAGAAATGCCAAGAACAAAGCACAGACCCAAAATGTCGGTCCGCCATCTTTGGCGGCACGAGGGGAGGGGCCAGCTGGGGCCTGCTTCACGCATCCAGGAAGAGGAGGAGGCGGGGGTAAGATGGTACTGCACGGCTTCGGGGAGCAGGTGGAGGGTTCCGGACTCTGGAATGCTCCTTTGTGCGGAAAATGGAACGCCAGCCGGGAGAAAAGGTCCACCTTCTCTCCTGGCTGGAAGTGCTGGTTTTCTCTCCGGGGGAGCCGACGAAGGAAAGGCATTCCAAATGGGGATCCTCTTGCCTGAAGCTAAAGCGGTGCATTTGACCAACTTCATTTCTCCTGCATGTGTGAACCAGGGCTAAGGCTTGTTTCAAGCTGCATTCCATTAAGGCACCATTGGTGAAAACCTCAAACCCATTAGAGAGTGCCCTCCCCCCCCCCCGATGGAGTACCTCTCCCCCCTCCTCCAGCTCATCATTTGGCTTTAGGAAACTCAGAGAAAGTGCCCGGAACAAAAGAGTGAATCAAGAAACTACTGGTCCTTTCTCAGGGACCACCAGAGCAGCAACTGGAAGGAGGGGAGGAGAGGCCCTCGACGATCTACGATCACCACCCTTCTCCCGTTTCTTTTCCGAATGGGAATCTGACACTCGGCAACTGGAAAGCCCCCTTAGGAGCACCACTGCCGACATGCCAGACCGCTGACGGGGAAGCTTCTCTGGTTCCCCGGGCTCGCTCCGATTAAATAAGAAAAATCAAATTCCGTTGCTCAACTCGCTGCTTGAAAACTAGAACTTTTAAGAGACTGTCAGAGGCAAGAACACTGCCCTAAGAACAATTCCAGGGACTCGGGGGGGGGGGGGGGGGTTCTCTCTACTCAAAACCTAGAAGGCACCAGCACTGAAAAGAGGCGCTGTGAGTTCATCCGAGGAACATGGGATTCTCACGCGCCAGTCACCCACTGTAGCAGCTACACTGTTTGCAAAACAAAATTACTCATTGGAACACTGTTGTCTTTCCTTTGCCCATGTTCAGAAGACACTCTAGTTATCCAATTCTAACAAAGCACACGTGACACAGCACCTCCCAAGCAGCACTATCCTACCCGTTGGCACCTGCTTGTGGGTTCTCTTCCCCCTGCAAAAGGAAACCTGGTTTGGAGCTCCTTCCTTAAAGGCAGCGGAAGGGGTCCACTACAGTCAGACGCTAGACGGAAGGGTGCAGAGACTGCAGCCCCACGTACAGCAGCAGCTTACAGCCCTGCTGCTACCTGGACTATTTTCTCGTGGAGGGAGATGGTTTTTCCCTTAAGGAGCAGAGGACTTGGCGGGAGATCTGATGCTTTCGGCAGGGGAGGGGAGCTATCAGACCCCTTTGGAAAGGCTGCTTCTTCAATCCTCACCTTCACAGCTTCCAGCCAGGTGATGATTCAACCGTTCCCCCACCTCCTAAAGGATTCCTTTCCAGGAACTCACCTGTTCTGCTGCCCCCTCCCTGGCCAAAGAGAAGGCTGATCCCCAAGGAAAATACTCCCCCCCCCCCGTGTGCTCCTTTTTCCCATTCGCACCGCACTTCCCGCCGCCCCTTCAAGCGTACACGTCACGGTCTCCAACGCCCAGCTTGCCTCCCGCCCCGGAAGTGACGCCAGTTCCGGGCCACGGATTGGCCCCGAGCCACCAGAGACAAGCCGGCCAGCCGTCAATGCAGCTCGTTCAGATTCTGGTTGCGAAGGTTCTGCTGCTGACGGCTCAGGCTGACGGCGTTGTCCAACGGGGGCTCCTCGTCCTCCTGGGTCTCGGGCATGAACTGGCGGAAAATGCTGACGCTGCTGTGCCAGAAGATCGGCTCCGGCAGCTGACCCACCACGCTCCAGGTCCGCGTTTCCGGATCGTACGCTTCGACGATGCCCGAAAGTTCGAAGGTGCTGTCGTAGCCGCCGGAGACGTAGAGCTTCCCGCCCAGCACGGCTAAGCTGCCCCCGACGTGGACCTGGAAATAAGGGAGGGAGGCGATATTGACCAGAGCCACGCTGCATATGCATTAACTGCAGCGGTCCCAATTTTCAGGACCTCTCTGCACTCAGGACCTCGGAGAAGAAAACTTATCTGTTTAGATACTTAGCCCCTCACAACCAATGTTCCCGCTAAGCTGTGGAGTCTTGTGAGCAAAAATTCTACCTTGTGAGCTACTGGCATTAAAGTTGTGAGTGAGCAATTTGGCTCCTACATAAATTAGTTTGCTCTGGAGCCGTCCTTCCTAAGCTAAGTCAAAAATGTGTGAGCCAGAGGCTAAAAAACTGTGAGCTAGCTCACACTAACTCAGCTTAGAGGGAACATTGCTCACAACATCACATGAACACATGAAGCTGCGGTCCATCAAGGTCAGGATTGTCTACTCCGACTGGCAGCACCTCTCCCGGGTCTCAGGCAGAAGCCTTTCACATCCCCTCCTACCTGGTCCTTTTTAACTGGAGATGCCGGGAATTGAACCTGGGACCTACTGCATACCAAACAGAGGCTCTGCCACTGAGCCATTATCCTCCCCCTCCATCTTATCCTAACAATGATCTCTAAAGTACTTATGTACGTGCATTACGGGCCATCAAGTCACTACTGATTTCCAGTGGCCCCAGCAAGGGACTTTTGAGGCAAGTGAGAAGCAGAGGTGGTTGGCCTTTGTAGCCCCCTGTGCAGCAACCCTGGACCTGCTTGAGGGTCTTCCATCCAAGTATTAACCAGGGCCAACCCCCCCCCCCAAATTTTTATTCGTTTTTAAATAATCATTTACAACAATAAACATCAGACGCACTGAACAAGCAACAACAAGAGGATCAAGTTGAGTTATAAGCTAATCATTCAACAGCAGAAACCATTCTGACACTCTCGAACCTTCATCAACCAATAAATAAGGGTAAGGAGTGCTGGTAACCACACTGCCTTTGTCAATTAGGAGAACATGAGGACTAGATTAGAGCTAGACCTCAGATATAGAAGAATTCTGTGTGCGTTTCATTGTATATAAAAAAGAGAGCTAGAGTAGCTAGAAGAAAAGCCAAGAAGAGTAAGCTATGTTAGTAGGAAGACGTTCTGCCTCTGTCATATACTGCAGCCACGGAAACCACGTGCACACAAATTTTGAGTGGGTCGTGGTAATGCCAGATCGTTGTCTTAGAAGTGAATCAGAAGTTTTACACATAATAAACTGGTCCCAGACTTTGTTTCTCCAGATGGTCAGTGTCAGGGGAGAGACAGACTTCCAAGCGGTAAAATCAGGCTAGCCTGGGGCTTTCCAGGGTGGGCAAATAATCTGATCACTGCACCACTGTACGTACATATGCGCAACTAACTTTTGGCAGCCCCAGCAACGCGAGTGAGGAGCAGAGATGGCTTGCCATTGCCTTCCTCTGCAGAATCTTCCTTGGTGGTCTCCCATTCAAGGACCCATCCTGCTTAGAGATTCAACAAGAGCGGGCTACACCACGCCGCCTTCCCTCCCATTCCTGGGAGGTAGCTTGGGCCATAAAAGAGTGACTGACCCAAGGTCACCCAACAGGTTTCCATACAGAGCAGGGATTCAAGCCCGGGTCTCAGAAGCTAGTCTAGTCCCTGCCCCACACTGGAAACTGCTGACCACGCCCCCTGCGTTCATCTTAAATTCGCTCATAAATCCCACATGATGGCTATCCTATGGATTCAATCACTGCTGCCGACAGCAAAAGGGACTGGACTAGAACCACGAAAGGGAAGTCGGGAAAAGGCAGCTCCTTAAATGCAAGTGTGGGATGCAAGCGTTGTCCGTCAATCCCAGGCATGATATTAGTTTCCCTAGGCAGTTCTTCACAACAGTGACTAAGAATGTAACCAAACACCTCTGGATGCCACAGCTCAACTGTTTTTCAGCCTGACCGTGTAAACAGAAACCACTGCAAAATGGCATGCAGTCACTGACTCAAATCAGTGCAGATATCTTTACCGGTTCACACTCCCACATGTGCTGCTGTGCTAAAGAGAGGCTATCTGGAGTGACTAGGTGCCATGAGGCATTATAATTTGTACAGTTCAGTTGAGAAGCAGGCAGCACCAAGTTTTACAGACGTTATATCCCACCTCACTGTTCAAAAAGGATAACCCAGGTGTCCTAAAGCCATAGAGACCAATATGCATATAAAATGAAAATCTAGCCACAGTAAATGGATGGAGTACTAAAATCTATCAATATCAAACCCAATTGTTAGAATCTGTTCAAGAGAGGAAGAAGATATTGGATTTATGCCCCGAGTCTCAGAGCGGTTTACAATCTCCTTCCCTTCCTCTCCCCACAACAGACACCCTGTGAGGTAGCTGGGGCAGAGAGAGCTCTGAGACAGCTGCTCTTAAGAGCGCTGAGAGTACTTGTGACTGACCCAAGGTCACCCAGCTGGCTGCATGTGGAGGAGTGAGGAATCAAACCAAGTTCTCTAGATTAGAGTCTGCCGCTCTTAACCACTACACCAAACTGGCTCTACGGCAATGGAGCAGAGCACCACCACAGAAGACCTCCGGGCATAACAAAGCCAGCTAGCCAATTCAGACTTAAGGTCCCCCCAGGAAAGGGCCATGGCTCTGTGGGAGAGCATCTGCTTTGCACGCAGAAGGTCCCAGGTTCGATCCCCAACATTCCCAATGAAGATCAGACATTGGGTGACATAAAAGACCTCGTCCACCTGAAGCCCTGGACAGCCATTGCTAATCCAGAGAGGGACTCCGAAAGACCAATGGACTGACTTGGTGTAATGCAGTTTATAGGAATGTCTTGGGATTGCATCAGAAAGCCTTAAAAAGTGGTCTCAACTGTACTTTCGGTGGGGCAGGGGGATTCCACACCCTAAGAGTGACAGCTGAAAAGGATGTTGCAGGAATTATCCTTCCTTTACATCTACTAGGGCAGAATCCTGCAATGGATCCTGGCCAAGTTCACAGAGGTGGAAGTACTCTTTCAGGTGCTTTGACCCCCATGGTGCTTAGGGTTTTATATACCCAAACCAGCCCTTTGTACTGGGGTCTTGAAACACACTGTAAACCAGCCCAGTTGACAAGCGATCCACCCTGCACGTTCATTGTGGCAGGATCCTGTTAAGAGTCCTAGTGCTTCCAGACAATCTTCAAGAGCAGACCCAGGAAAAACATGTTACAGGCTAACGCTCCCTTCTAACCTGTGGAGTCCTCTGAGCAAAAATTCTACTTGGTGAGCTACTGGCGTTAAAGCTGCGAGTACGCGATCTGGCTGCTGCACAAGTTTGCTCTAGAGCCATCCTTCCTGAGCTGAGACAAAAATGTATGAGCCGGAGGCTAAAAAACTGTGAGCTAGCTCACACTGACTCAGCTTAGAGGGAACACTGGTTATAGTAGTCCAAGGTGGACGTTGCCAAGGCACATGTGATAATGGTGAAGTCTGCTTCCTCTGGGAATGCAGGCAGTTGGCAAACCTGCCTAAGCTGGTAAAAGGCAACGGCAGCCACCTCCACAACACACCATCCAGGGAGCAACCTTTCCATCACAGAGCTACATACAGTTCTGGTCTTGTGTGACTTTCTGTAGATTCTGCACACCAAGGCGTTTGTTACCCCCAAGTGATGAGAAACATCAGCATCCACAGACACATCAAGCATATGATTTTTGAAACTCTAACACAGCACAAAGCATGACTGTCATTAAGATCCCTCTCTCCCTGCCCAGTTATTATAAATTTCTGTCTCAAGTCTGAAACAAAGTGAAGACCTGGATTCTTCTGCGCACTCATGGTTTTGTATGTGTGTGTGGTGTTGTTGTTTTTTTTAAAAAAACGCCCCTTTTAAAAAAAGTGACAATCAGAAACTAGCTTACCTGGAGCATTGGAGGGATCTTGTCCCATTCATTCTTCAGTGGGTTGTACACATCAACTTCGGCAGAGTCATCTCTGTAGAAGGAAACAAAGGGAAAAAATGAGGCTACGGAAGAGATCGAAGAAGATCCCGTCACGTGAACAAGACCACGCAGGCACATACCTCCGCTTCTCTCCCAACTAGGTCAAAATCCACCCAAGCGATACACAGAAATTATTTGCAGGAGGTTTATTTATATATATAGTTATACCCCACTTTCCCCCACCCCAATAGGGACCCAAAGCAACTTACAACAGCATTCTCCACTTTATCCTCACGGCCACCACCCAGGGAGGCAGGTGAAGTTAAGAGCGACTGGCTCTTAACCCAGCAAGCTTCCAAGACAGACTGGGAAATTCAAACCCCAGCCTTCCAGATCCTAGTCTGGCACTCTGATTGCTATCCCATGCTGGCTCTCTAAGGGGCAACTCTTTCTTCCCAAAATTCCTGAGCTTTGGAAGCCAAAGCGGCAATTAATATACTGGCAGCACCTACGTCCTGGGCAGGCACAGACTGATAGCAACTGCTGTGCTAGTGGCAGACAGCATGTCTCCCCCACAATCCAGAACAAAGTGAGGAAGAGGTGAGCAGTGACTCAGGAAAGCTCATTCCCTGCCACAAACTTTGGTAGCCTTTAAGGCGCTGATGGACAGCGGTGGCTCAGAGGTTAAGACGCTGAATTGCAGACCGGAAGGTTGGTAGCTCGGTAGTTCAAGACCCGAGTACCGCAGGACGGAGTGAGCTCCCGTCTCTGGCCTCAGCTCCTGCCAACCTAGCAGTTCGAAAGCAAGACATTGCAAGTAGATAAATAGGTACCGCTTTGGTGGGAAGGTAACAGCGTTCTGTGAGCCTTGGCGTTTAGTCATGCAAGCCACATGACCATGGAGAAGTCTTCATACAGTGCAGGCTCTTTGACTTGGAAATGGAGATGAGCACCACCCCCTAGAGTCGGATTCGACCAGCCTTCGAGCAAGGGAAACCTTTTACTTAAGGTGCTAGTGGACTCTTGCTCATTTCTGCTGCTACAGACAGACTAACGTGCCTACCCAGCTTGATCTATCTTACAATGAGGGCTATAAAGAATTCCAAGTCTCTGAGACTACAGGCTCCATCTGCAAGCCAGCTATGACCTCCACTCTGCTACGTGCATTCTTTTTAGGGAATAAATTACTAACACAGAGAAGAGCAAGAGTCCAGTAGCACCTTAAAGACTAACAAAAATGGTGGCAGGTTTCATGAGTCGCTGCTCCCTTCAGTTTGGTGTAGTGGTTAAGTGCGCAGACTCTAATCTGGGAGAACCGGGTTTGATTCCCCACTCCTCCACTTGCACCTGGCTGAATGACCTTGGGCAAGCCGTAGTTCTGATAAGAGCTGTTCTTCAAAAAGAGCAGTTTCTGTCAAGAGCTCTCTCAGCCCCACCTACCTCCCAGGGTGCCTGTTGTGGGGAGGGGAAGGGAAAGGAGTTTGTAAGGTGCTCTGAGACACCTTTGGGTAGTGAAGGGGGGGGTATAAATCCAATCTCTTCTTCTTCTTCCTCCTCCTCCAGGTAACACTGTCTAAGTGAGCAGTGACTCAGGAAAGCTCATCCCCTGCCACAGATGTTACTCTTTAAGGTGCTACTGGACTCGTGCTCTTTTCTCCTGCTACAGACAGACTAACACGGCTACCTGTGATGTAACATAGATAAAGGTGGGCAGATTTTTTAGAAAGGTTTTGTGGCTCCCCCCCCCCCAGCCTCACAAGCTCCCTTTGAAGAAGCCAGGTTACCTGCTCTCTGCAGGTACATTATCGCCTCTGGTTTCTGCTTAGCGTGCTTCGGCAGGGAGGAAATAACAAGAGCCGGCATGGCATCATGGCTACAGCACAGGACTGGGACCGAGGAGACCAGGTTCAAATCCCTACTCGGCCACGGAAGTTCGCTGGGTGACCTTGGGCCGGCCACCCTCTCAGCCTACAGGGTTGTTGTGAGGATAACAGGTGAGAAGCCTGCTGTACCACCCTGAGCTCCCTGCAGGAAGTGCCAGATAAAAATGTACAAAAAGGCAGACAGGCCGGAGAGGAGGAGTCTGCCCTCGAGGAGTGGTGGGCATCTGGAGAGGTTAAATAAAACAGAGCAGCACTCCGGTTGCACGAGGCTCGTTCTCCTTGGTCTGTTCATGAAACAGGAAGCGTGACAGCGACAGGTGCTGGGGACAAAGAAATGCACTTTGCACGTCCCGAACTGTGGCACGGAAACCCAGCAAAGTGGCAGCCAGCACACAGAAGGGTCAAGGGGAATGAAACCGGAGCTCCCTCGCACTTCTTGTTCCCATCTCCAAACAAAAAACCCCAGCAACCTGCAGCCCCCATAGCACTTATCTTACTTGGGGATCTCATCTCTCTGTTACGGGCAGACCTTCCGGGGTCATCTGGCTAAAATGAAATCTAACTTCTCTCCAAAGGGTTAACATCAGTGCTTTATAAGGGAGACAGGAAAAGCAAATGCTGGGCTGCAGAAAAAAGCACAGGATCTCACAATCTGGCCTGGGAACATCTCCAGCAGCAGCTGCCCTGGAGCGCCAGGCCCTTGCTTTGTTTTTCCGGGGCCACTTAGGAATCTGAAATATTTGCTCAAGTCCTGCTCTGCAGGGATCTGGCACCTGCCATGCTGGAAATGTGTCCAGCAATTGCAGATGGGAGGCAAAGTCACCAAGCCCCGCAGCTGAACCACCTCTAATTTCAGCGGGGCTAGGGAATGCAGAGAAAGCACATGTCGAAAGGAATTCGAATAGCAGGAATTCCATGCTTCCCATCACACCCCTGCTGGGGAAATCCTGTGCAAGTTGCTTAAAGGACAGACTCCCACAGTACAATCCAAAGCAGAGTTCCACCCTTCTAAGTCCATGGCCATCGGGGCGCTTAAGAAGGGCACAAACCCGCTTAGGCCCGCACTGCCAGTCTTGTGCTAACAGGGTGAGAACCGGGCAGTGGTAGGGGGACTCCTCCTGCCCCAAAGCGTTCCTCTGTGCCAGGAAAGGAGCACTTGCGAGAATCAGCACATGTGTGTGTGGGGGGGTTATTTTCCTGCCCCCAGTTAGGTTCTGCACAGAGGCGTCCATCCCCACTTAGCAAAGAAGAGGTGGAAACTGACAGTGAAAGGAGATAGAGTGTCTTGTGGAATCTGGTCAATAACTCTACAGCAGGGGTGTCGAACTCATTTGTTATGAGGGCTGGATCTGACAAAAATGAGACCTTGTTGGGCCGGGCCATGTGTGTTGTAAAATGTAACGAAGGTAGTGGAGATATGAACTTTATAAACGACACAAACACAAAGGGTTTTTTTGACTTAAAATAAAAACATGCTTAAAGCATCAGCACTCTTGCAATATTTTGTTTATTTAACAGTGTCTGATAACTGACACCTCTTGCTCTGAATTATTGCATCAAAATATCTGTGCTGTTACACTCTTGAGTATGCTGTTCAGGTGAGTATCTGTAAGCTGCAAACCTACAATGACGCAGCAGCAGCAGAACTGGAAGAAGAAGCAGAAGACAGCCAGTTCCACTGCGGGCCTGACAGAAGCCCTCTGGGGGCCTGATCCGGCCCCCGTGCCGCATGTTTGACACCCCTGCTCTACAGCATACATGGGCAATGCTAAGCCAGAAGCTGGGAGACTCAACTCTGAATCAGGAACACCCCACCCCTTTCAGGTATTCCAGCCACAAGCCAAGAACCCTGTCTGCAACCTGAAAATAATAACCCTGGCCTACCGTCCAGGGCTGTTGTAAAGATTACAGAGGAACAATCATGAACCCTCCAAAGCACTAAGAAAGATGAGCATTCATTATGTATTATTACATTATTATCCGTTTCAACAATAAGGCAGTCGCCCATTTCATTGGAAACACCCACTGATTTGTCCACAGGCTGTCTGAATGTGTAGCTGTCCAGTCTTAAGAGGAATGACAGCGACAATCCTGTGATTTAACTAGGTCACCTGGAGTTTCCATCACATGGTCACATGCCATTTTTGACCAAGAACTATCAATGGAGAAGAGAGCCCCCTATATGGCCCATGAGGAGGAGGAGGAAGAGACTGGATTTATACCCCGCCCTTCACTTGGAGTCTCAGAGCATCTTACAAACTCCTTTCCCTTCCCCTCCCCACAACAGACACCCTGTGAGGTGGGAGGGGCTGAGAGAGGTCTTTCGAGAACTGCTCTTTCAGAACATCTCTGACAGAACTATGGCTTGCCCAAGGTCATCCAGCAGCTGCAAGTGGAGGAGTGGGGAATCAAACCTGCTTCTCCCAGATTAGAGTCTGCACACTTAACCACTACACCAAACTGGCAAGCTCCCACAAGGGTGAGAAGCCTCCAAGTGACTGTTTTGACTACCAGCTCTGACAGCTATAGCAGGCCCCCGCAATGCCCCAGAAAGTTCGGCCTCCCTCTGGCAGCCTTGGGCTGCTGCTTCTTGAACTCAGAGCAGCAAGGGAACATTTCTTGCAGGGAAGGTAAGCAAGCACTAGGAAAGGGATGGGGAGCGGTCTCTGTGTGGGTGACTGTAGCTGCAGGCAGCCTTTTTCGCAAGCTCCTCTATGAACAAGGCACACGGCATTTATCACTACTTGAATTATTCCAATTTAGCTATTGAAATTCCTGGAAGAAAACAGTATCGTTGGCTGTCCTAAGACCCGCCACCAATAAACTGCTACACTTGCTGAGGATGAGCACAAACCTCACCTAGAAGTTACTCTCAACATCCCTGTTTTCAATGTCAATGCGGAACATAAAGTCCGAGGTGCTATTTTCAACCCCTGCTTGGTCACGTGCCCGGCCTGTCACCAGCTGAAGGACTCAAGAGTCTGGCAAGGCTTTCCTTTCAGATAACAAGAAACTGACACGTCCCTTGTTCAAGGCAGGGCAGTGAGGTCAGCAGCCCTTTTGCAAGAGGCTCTGCAAAGAACAACAAATCAGCTGCAGCTCTGGGGCCTTCACTAACCCTCGCCCTCTTAGTCTGGCAAAGAAGGCCTCTGGGGCATACAGAGCCGTGGCTCAGTGGTAGAGCAGATGCTCGGCATGCAGAAGGTCCCTGGTTCAATCTCCACTTAAGGGTCAGATCACAGGTAATGCCTGAGACCCTGGAGAGCCACTGCCAGTCTGAGTAGACAATACTGACTTTGATGGACCCCGGGTGTGATTCAGTGTAAGGCAGCTTCAAAGGCTGCCTTCTTCCAGGGGGACAGGGAGGAGTTCCTTTCTACCCCCTCCCAAGCCAGTGGGATATTTTCCTTAAGTGAATCAGAACCATGTGATCTTGACATTTGCAAAAACCATGTACCTGGGCGGTGGGGGAGAGAACACCAAACAGTCTCCACGGACAGCATCTTGTTTTGACTGAGTTCCTTCCCTCCCTAGGTGGCAAACGCTATTTTTTGAGGCAAATGCTATTTTTAGAAGAGGAAATCAGTTGCTTCAAAGCAGTTCTGAGAAATGTACCAGAGCCAAACACACCGCTGTTCCTCAAAGGGAGTCAACCTCTGCTTCTCAGCTGCTTTCCTTCTGCATCATAAACCCTTTCTAAAAAAAGGAACAGTTTTCCTTGATCATGCCAATTACGCCACCCACACAAACACCTTCAGCATTTCAGGCTTGGATCCTAACCTCCATTTCTATTTACAGAACAGAGGAAAGACAATTTCCCCCGAAACCCTGCTTTCACTTCAGCCCCCGGCCGATGTTTCACGGGGGATATGTGACTGCAGCAAGAGGGCAAGGCAGGAGAGCCATGCGTTTACACTGCACAGCTCTGCACATACTGTAGGATCCAAAACTTAACTTCTAGCCCACACAAAGAGCTCTACCTGCCTCCCCCATCCGTTCCACGTTAATAAGTTCAGCGGCCCAAGAAGGACATTTTACTTTTTCTCCAAAGCCACAAACAAGCCCGGATTCTGTGCCGCCAACCCTGAGCAACGCCAGCAGACCTTACCTTACAAAATACATCAGCCCGCTGAGAGTGACAGTCTTGGGGGCGAATGACCAAGGGGGCACCTGCCCGCAGTTGACGAGAGACCACAGGTCCGTCTCTGGGTCGTAGCACTGCATAACCATGGACTCTTTGCCAGCCAAGGAGCCTATGGCGTAGAGCTTGCCGCGGCAGGCCGTTGTGGAGCAGTTGTCCATGGGGTAGAGCATAGGTTGCATCGTCTCCCAGGCATCCAGTGAGTGGTCATAGCGTTCCGTGCTGTCCGAAGCCACGACGTAGAGAAGTCCGTCCAAGACCACTGAGCTGTGGTATTCTCGGGCTTTTAACATCGGGGACACCTCCGTCCACTCGTTCACGCTGGAGTTGTACCGCCAGACACAGTCATAGAGTCTGGAGCCATCGGATCCTCCTGGGGAAAGAGCACAACATCCCACAGGTAAGGCTTTTCCCAGGTACAGCCATAAGGCCATGTGAGTCGCTGACCATGCACAGAAGCCCTCCGGGCGACAGACTCTCCTTGGATCAGACCCAGTAAAGGCAGCACAACAGCAGACATCTTAGACTGGCAGCGATCCTCCAGTCTGGCACACCAGAGAGGGAGCATGTGTGTCTGCCCCAGCCCCACATCCAAAGATCCTCTTACAAGGATGCCTGGGAACTCACGTATGTAAAGTGCGCCACTGGTGCACTTCCCTATGATATGTGTGTGTGCTGTCAAGTCCCGGCTGACTTATGGCAACCCGCTAAGGCTTTCAAAGCAAGAGACATTCAGAGGTGGTTTGTCAGTGCCTGCCTCTGAGTAACAACCCTGGTATTCCTTGGAGGTCTCCCATCCAAACACTAGCCAGGGCGACCCTGCTGAGCTTTCGAGATCTGATGAGACTGGGCTATCCTGGGCTATCCAGGAAAGGGTACTTCCCCCCTATGACACCGCAGTTATAATATCATTGCGAAGAAAAGTGCACGGCTCTGCATGAAAGCAGCATATAAGGAAATATGCCGGTGGCCTGGTTTGGAAGCCTGTTTGTACAGTCACTTCTCAGGCACCTGAGCCTCATGCCAAGGCAAACACCAAATGATGCAGGCTCATTTTCTCTGTCAAGGATGGGGGTGGAAGACAGGATGGGTGGCAGGCCTTGCCGGGAGGGCAAGCTTTAAGTTGTGTTCACTGCCCTCGGGGACCACCGCCCGCTCTCCCGGCTACCATCTGAAACGCCAGCCGGGCAGCCGCCCTGTACTTAAGAAGAAACCAGTCCCACTGAAGCTTAGGGGGCTTCCATCTGAATAAAGACGACACAGCTCAGATTGTTACAAAGCCCCCTCTACAAGGAATGACACAATGCCCACTTTGTAAGGAAACTCATAAGCGCCCCAATACGCCCGTTTCCCCGGCTGCCCAAAACCCTTTCCGGAGGCACTTGACAAACCCGGTGGAACTCCAAAGAGGGGAAGCTCCAACCGGGACCGGTCCGAGGACTGGGTGGACGCAGGGCCCCGGGGAAGGAAGAGATCCCACCCGCCTCCCTTCCAGTGTTCCCTCTAAGCTGAGTTAGTGTGAGCTAGCTCACAGTTTTTTAGCCTCTGGCTCACATATTTTCGTCTCGGCTCGGGAAGGATGACTCCAGAGCAAACTAATTTATGTAGTAGCCAAATTGCGCACTCACAACTTTAATTCCAGTCGCTCACAAAGCAGAATTTTTGCTCACAGGACCCCACACTTAGAGGGAACGTTGCTCCCTTCCCTCCTTCTCCCCGGCTTACCGGAGACGTAGATGTCGTTGCCGAGGGCAGCCAGGCTGTACCCGCCGCCAAGGTGGTCGGGGAACTCGGCCAGGTAGCGCCAGTGGCCCGTGCGCGGGTTGAAGCAGTCGACGGTGGCGAGCTCGTCGCAGTCCCGGTCGCAGCCGCCCACCACCACCAGGATCTCGGCCAGGCCGGTGGAGGGGCGCGGGCGGAGGCGGGCGCAGGGCCCGAAGTCGTGCCGGTCGAGGCGGGCGGCCTGGAAGAGGCGCGCCTCGGCCACGAGGCGGAGGCAGGCGGCCGAGCGCGCCACCAGCGGCTCGCCC